TGATGTTGGCGACATGACTACATATAGTTCGTATATGTGGGCATGCGATACATATAGTTTGTGTAGTTAGGGATACATTTTGAAACTTCGGATGTGTAGCCATGTATTGTAACATACTTCGTGTAGCTAGGTATTTTTTTCCCAATTCTTAATCCTAACCGAACCAGATTCCAGAACGCTCACCCCTATTAATTTTTTTTTTTTTTTTTTTTTACCTCTATTAAAACTTTCCAAACATAACAAAAGCTACTTGAGCAACCCCAATGGGAGACTCTTTATAGATTTCTTAGTATAAAAATATTGAAAAAAATAGAAAAGTAGGAGAGAGAAGTAAAAAACTCTAGACATAGTTTCTTATTTAAAGATTTTTAGAATCTCATAAGAGACATTTGAAAGTACTTATCTTTCTATGAGTGGTTTATCTTATTTTCAAAATTAAAATTTAATTCAATAATTTAATTCCATAAAAATATTAATATTTTAGTTTTTAGAAATTCAAATTAGATCTATCACCATTGGGGGTGCTCTTAGAGCATGATTAACGGCAAGCTCTTGCAGAAATCTTAAGCTTGTCTTAATATTTAATGCAATATAATTTAATCAATTTTGCGCTTTAACGTTAAGAAACGTTCTTTAGCTAAGCAACAAAAATTCACTTAAGAGGTGGATACGTGTCGACGTTGGAGAAAAACAAAGAGACTCCAAAAATGAAGAAATCATGTCAGAAAAGGAAACGAGTCCGATTCATACAAAGGGATCCGGTGAGAACGGGTTAATGAGGGAGAACGTGAGCCTACCTATGAGTTACGCCAACGCCGTGAGAGGAATCAACAGAAAGAGTTGTGGGAGAAAAACATTGAATCCCTAGATTCAATTTTGGAGATTAATCGAAGGTCTGAGAGGGAGTGTTGGAATCAGACCTTGATTAAAGGATCTGTGAGCTTGGTTTGGAAGAAAGGAAGAAGTGTTGCGATGGAGAAGAAGAAGCGTCGAAGTGAAGAGGACGAAGAAGAAGAAGTTTGTGATTATGAAGAAAAAGGGGCGAGGCCCACTAAGCAAATTAGGCCCAAAGGCATTAGTGGATTAAGTGTGTTGGGTAAACCTTAGGTTACACTAATGAAAAACATATATATGTTAGTTGTTGTATAATGAATCTTTTATCAAGAAAAAGGAGATTAGAAGATAAGATCTCCAAGTTGCTGGTCCAAATCGAACACTTTAACGATATCAATATTGTAGATCGCTCTCCGGTTTTTGATGACATTTTAAAAAGGTGAGCACCAACAGTGAATTATACAGTCAACGGGAACGAATATGTGGCCAATAGAGCTCGAGTTCGTGATCGAGGTATGCATCAACAATTGAAGAATGATTTGGTCGAGCATATATGGACAAAATATTCCATAAATTAAGTTTAAAACATTTGTGCTTTATGTTATTTATTGTATCTCATGTATGTTTTAATTTTTTTAATTTGCAACAATTATTAAATTTTCTATAATTATAAGTTTTATTTTTATATTAATATTTCTTTTTCTAAGAACCACATGTTAAGAGTCTACCATTAATCACACAAAAATCTTAACTCAAAAATATTATCTCTTAACAATCAATTTTACAAATATATTACTTAAATATTGTTAAGAGATATTTCTAAGATACTACCAATAATCATATTATTATGAATTTAGTGGAACGAAAAGAATAATATAACAATGGAAAGTTTGACGTGTGACACAAAAAAGATGGAAAATTTGGGAGCCAAAAGAGTAAGAAATCTTTTTTTAAAAAAGAAAAGGAAAGAAAAGAGTAATAAATATTAAACATTCCAAATGATTATAATAAATGTTTTTTTTCTTTAATTTTGGTCTAAATATTATGAGTCGAGATCGAAAAAAATAGAGAAGGAAAACGAAGATCGAAATCCAAACTATGGAGATTAAGATACGACGAAGACGAGGGTACATAGCGGAAACAACAGTGGAAAAGGAGGTAGAAGAGGAGGAGCAACCACTTAGCCCGGCGGCGCGTCTGTTCCACGCGCCGGAGTTTAACTGCTACATCATTTCGGTGGTTGGTTTAAAGAAGAAGATCCAACCAGATGTGATTATCGAAGGAATTAAGCAAACTTTGATTAGACATCCTCGTTTCTCCAGTAAATTGGTGAGTCACACATTTGATAGATTTATTGTAGTTTTTATTGGATGTTCGTGTGTGATTAGATTTTTTGTCTCTTCGTTCAGAAATACATAAAATTTGATACCACGTCAATATTTTTACGCTTTCATATATAAAAACAAACGATAATAAATAGGTTGGGCTTTATGTTTCTCTATATTATGTCAAGTCCCAGTTGATTATTGTCGATGGTTTTGATATAAAAACTCATAAATTTATTTATTGAAGGTGAACAATAGAAAGGAACAAAAATGGGTTCGGACAAACGTGGTGGTCGAGGATCACGTCATCATTCCCAAAATCGAAACGAAAATCATAAAGAACGCAAACGCAGACGCTTTTCTTGAGAGTTACGTCTCCGACCTCACTACGATCCCGTTAGACACCTCCAAGCCGTTATGGGAAGTTCATTTACTCGACTTGAAAACCTCCGACGCTGAAAACGTCGTGGTTTTAAGGGTCCATCACTCGTTAGGTGACGGTATGTCTATGATGTCTCTAGTCCTCGCGTGTACCCGTAAAACATCAAACCCCAATGAGCTCCCGAGTCTACCGTACCAGAACCGGCCGTCTTCTGGATCATCCTCGTTAAAAACCAGTTCAAGATATTATTCCCGGTTCTTTTGGCTGGTTACGGTTTTATGGACGGCAACTATGTTGGTTTTGAATACGGTTTGTGATGCTTTGGAGTTTATTGCTACAACATTGTTCCTTAAGGACACTGAAACACCAATAAAAGGCAATTTCGGGCTAAGCACGCGTAAACGGATGTGTATGGTTCATCGCACCGTAAGTCTTGATGACATAAAGCTAATCAAGAAAGCCATGAAAATGGTAAAATTCTCCATACATTTTAAGTTAGTAATCAATTTTAATTATATTAATGGCATTTATATGACATGTCGACTTTATTTTCAAAATTTGAGAGATGTGACATATATGATAGTTCATTAATCTTGCTTTCACTGATTTTCTTCTTAGTAGACTGTCAACGATGTTGTACTTGGAGTATCTCAGGCTGGTCTCTCGCAGTATTTGAAGAGAAGATACGGTAAATATTTATGATTTTTCTTTGAAGGAGCATTAAACTATACATATGAAATTTTGTACTTATTATGAAAAAATGTTAGACGAGAAGAAGAAAGCAGGAGAACAAGAAGAATCTAAGAGGAATTCAAGTAATATACTTAAAGGAATAAGGCTAAGGGGAGCTCTGCTTGTAAACATAAGACCGACGACTGGAATTCAGGCACATTAACATCACTTACTTATACAAGAATAATAGATAGATGGATTATGACAATTTCTTTTGTTTTTGATCAAAAACAGGATCTAGCTGATATGATGGCTAAAGGATCTAAGTGTAGATGGGGAAATTGGATCGGCTACATTGTCTTTCCGTTCTCTATTGCATTATGCGATGATCCATTGGAACATCTCCGAAGAGCCAAGTCGACCATCGACAGGAAGAAGAACTCGTTAGAAGCTGTTCTTACGTTCGTTGTTGGGAAAATACTTCTCAAATCGCTTGGAGTTCAGGTCAGTCTTATACATAAACTCATTTATATCTAGTTCAAAATTTAAGCATAGTCACACCCTTAGGGGTTCAATTAATCTTACAAAAACTCAATAAACCAAATATTGAACAAAATTTGAATGAGTGCAGCGGGCAGCTTATGTACTAAACAGAGCATTGTCAAATACAACGATGTCGTTTTCAAATTTGGTTGGTCCTATTGAAGAAATTAGCTTCTATGGACATACCGTTACTTACATGGCCCCAAGTGTTTATGGTCATCCCCATGTAAGATTTTAGTTTTTTTCTCTCTTTTTTTTCTCGTTAATCACTAAGACTTGACGATTTCATTGGTCATCAGGCGTTGACGATGCATTTTCAAAGTTATATGAACAAGTTGACGATTTCCTTAACCGTCGATCCAACGGTCATTAGTGATCCTCATAAACTATGTGACGATTGGGAGGAATCTCTAAGAAGCATCAAAGCTGCTGTTCAGGAAAGAAGTTCTACTCAGTAGATTGAGCTTTTTTTCTTTTTTTTCTTTTCTTTTCTTTTTTGCTTTGATTTAGAGAAAAAAGTTATTCAAAAAAAAAAAAAACTGAAAACTTGAAAACAGACAGAAATTGTGATCTATATTTCTAGGATTTTATCAATATGTATAACTTGGATTGGATCGATACCTTGACAGATATAAATACACCATTTTCATCATCCATTTGCATTCTCATCTTTGACTAAATACGAAATGAATGTGTTTTCATCAGTCCACGACCACGAATATCTTGTTAAATATTTAACTTTGTCAATGCGGCCTCATGCACCAAGATGAAAACTCTATTGGTAGTAAAATTGCTTTTAGCTAGTTATGACAATTTAGGTCACAATTTAGTTATGACAACTCCATGAAAATTTGTCCCAAATACGGGTATCTATGACGAAGCCTACAAAGCGTAGAGTTGCAATGCTTGAATTTGAAGATATTATCAGAACAAAACTACACGAAAACATGAAGAATTGATGAGAACAACCACAAAATAGCTGTTGTTTCTTGTGTAAACATTCACCACATGTTTCTTCTCGATCAAATACACATGTCACATGTATTCATATTTGACTTTTCGATCAACGTACAAATACTTATGCAAATTTCTGTGCATGGCGTGATTGGAAAGCTAATTGCGTTAACGTATCGTGTCACGGTTAAACTACTAATGGAAACGTTTTTTGGTTCACTGATTGGTTAAAAGATTAATTACTTTTTAAAAAAAAAATTCCGTGTTATACACGTAAGGAATGGCACCGCACAAGCATGGAGGCTATAAAGACTTAAGATGGAAACCAGAGTGTAGAGAAAGAAAGAAACGTTGAACAAAAAAGCATGGAGATTAAGACGCAACGACACATATCGGAGAACGAGAAGGAAGAGGAGCAACCACTTAGCCCAGCGGCCCGTCTTTTTCACTCGCCGGAGTTTAACTGCAACATTATATCGGTGATTGGTTTAAAGAGTAAGCTCGATCCATGTGTGATTATCAGAGGCTTTAAGGAAACTTTTATCAGGCATCCTCGTTTCTCAAGTAAATTGGTAAGTCGACTACCTTCAAAATTTTAAAATAATTTGTGTTTAAAAAATCTTACTCGAAATTGATGAAACCATATATATGTGACAATGACGTAAGATTCCTAACAATTACCATTTACTTAAAAATAATTACTTGAAGGTGACCGATGAGAATGGACAAAACCAAAGATGGGTTCGGACAAACGTGGTCGTCGAGGATCACGTCATTGTACCGGAAATCAAACTTCAAAACATAGAGAACACAGACTCGTTTCTCGAAGATTACGTTTCTGACCTCATGAAGATCCCGTTGGACATCTCGAGGCCATTATGGGAGCTTCACCTACTCGACTTGAAAACCTCAGACGCTGAAAACGTCGCAGTTTTAAAGATCCATCACTCGGTTGGCGATGGTATGTCAATCATGTCTCTTGTCCTCGCTTGTATGCGTAAAACATCAAATCCGGATGAGCTTCCTAGTCTCCCGTACCAGTACCGGTCGTCATCAGGGTCATCCCTGTTAACAACCGGCTCAAGAAGTGATTCCCGGTTATTGTGGCTGGTTAAGGTTCTCTGGACGGCGGTTATATTGGGTTTAAACACGATTTGTGATACTTTGGAGTTTATTGTTACGACATTGTTTGTTAAGGACACCGAGACGCCCATCAAAGGTGATTTCCGGTCAACGAAGAGTAAACGGTTGCGTTTGGTTCATCGTACCGTAAGCCTTGACGATATTAAGCTAATCAAGAACGCCATGAACATGGTTAGATTTCTCCTTATAAGAATCTACATACAATTTTGTTCTTTTTTATTATAAACGATACGTATACGGAATTCAAAAAAATTGTGTTAAAAAACCAAATTATGAGTATCTTATAGTATGGTTTGATAGACAGTCAACGATGTTGTACTTGGAGTGACCCAAGCTAGTCTCTCGCAATACCTTGAGAGAAGATACGGTAATTAAAATTTTTACTCTCCTATTTTCTTGTATATATGTTAATAAATATTGTACATTATTAACGTGTACAATTCAATATTCTCATGATAAACTAATAGGAGAAAGAGAAACTAAGAGGAAGAGAAAAAATCTGCCTAAAAGAATAAGGCTAAGATCAGCTCTGCTTGTAAACTTAAGACCCACAACTGGAATCCAGGTAAATTCATACAAGCTGATCACTTAGTTATTTGATTACAAGTTATATACTCAATCATCGGTGAATGTTAAATTTATTTTCGTTTTAAAACAGGATATAGCCGATATGATGGAGAACGGGTCCAAATGTAGGTGGGGAAATTGGTTCGGGTATATAGTATTCCCGTTTTCTATCGCATTACGCGATGACCCATTGGAACATCTCAAAAGAGCCCAGAAGATCATCACTCGTAAGAAGAACTCATTCGGGGCAATGCTAACATACATTTTCTGTAGAATCATTGTCAAATTCCTTGGAATTCAGGTCATTTTAAATAAGAACTAACCCATCATATATATGTTTAGTATAGACAAGAAAGCTTAATTTTTAAAAAGATCTAGTTTATGATATATAATAAGAGGTAAATTACATATTATCATTTTCATTAAAATTAAACGCAACACGAAAAAGGGTTAGTTGATATAGTTAACACTACTTTGGTTATGATTATTGATACAAACTTTTGTAATTAATTTTCAGTTGGCGGCTACTATAATAAACAGAATGGTGTCAAACACAACGATGACGTTTTCGAACATGGTTGGTCCCGTTGAACAAGTTAGCTTCTATGGACATCCCATCACTTACTTTGCCTCAAGTGGTTATGGTCATCCCCATGTAAGTTACTAATGTTATCCCCATAAACTACATTGTTCTATTTTTCTCCTTTTGTTATGTCATTATCATATCTATTGAAATCTAAATTAATTTTAACCGTATTTTTGTTTAACTTGATTAGGCATTGACGATAAATTGTCAAAGTTATATGAATAAGATGACAATAACACTAATCGTAGATTCAACGGTGATAAGTGATCCTCATCGGCTCTGTGACGATTGGCAGGAATCTCTCCGAAGCATTAAAGCCGCTGTCCAGAAAAGAGGGTCTCTCGGTTTGTGGGATTATCTCAGGCTTCTCAGCAATAGAATGGCTTGGCTACTTTACCAAATGGCTGGACTACTATACAAAATGCTTTGATGCTAAATTTGGGATTAATAAAATAATCTTTCGTGACAAAATATATCTCTCAATATAATTCCAAAAATGTGTAGAAACAACAATAAAAGCTTTCAATTGGAACCACCGATTTGTTCTTCTTCCATAACCACCTGAAGCAAATTCTCATAATTCTTCTGCCATTGATCATTCATCTGTAAAGATCTTTTGTATTCAAGTTTCAGTCTTTCCATTTCGATCTCTGTTGCTGCAGAGCCTTGTTGCTGATAGCAAACCGAGAAAATTGTGGGTCATTTTACCAAGAAAACACAAATAGACTGTTTTTCTAGAAACAGAGGAAACACAAACCTGAAGTTCTCTAACTTGCTCGTCAATAAGGTCAGCGCTGAGGAAAGAAGAGTAAACAGGAACATCAGAAAATGGGGGCGGATCAACGGTAACGATACCATCCATAGTATCTTCTCCTGATCTTTCATATTTTTCCAAAGGCGGTGGCATCAAAGACCCACGTCTTTTCCAGGAAGATTGTGTTTTGTTGGAATTATCAACAATCGTTTTTCTAACAATTTGAATATTGTTCACAGGAGGACCTGTAAGAAAAAAAGTTTGAAAAGCAAGAACGGGTTCATTGAATATTTCTTTTATAGTAGTAAAACTCAGACAGAAAAAAATGCTAACAAACATACCTTTTCCTTTTCCACGGCCGAGAGTACGAACAGGGCGACGCGATTTGGGATCCCAAACACAAACCACACCTTCTTCTGATCCAGAAATTAAAAGGTTTCCCTCTGTGCAATATGCTAAGCAAGTAACAGCTTTGCTGTTCAGACAAAAATTATTGATCAATTGAGATAATTAGACCATAAAACAGCCATAGTAGACAAATAGATTAAAAATAAGCTAAATGTTGTCAATTTATCAATTTAAGTCCATTATGCAAATTCATTATAACGAAAAAATAAGATGCAACATGTTAAGAGATCTGATAAAAAGAAGAAAATTACTACAAGCTACTGTTCAAATATAGATATTAGGATTTAGAAATGTAATATAAGGAACTGGACGTACCTTTGTTCGGATACTGAACCTAGAACTTGTGTCCCATATTCACTCGTGGCATTGATGGCACCGATATAAATTTTGCCATCTCTACCACCAGCATAGAACACATACCCGCCAGGGTCCAATGCGAGTGCATTGATGGCTGAAGGAAAAATGATATTTTTCAACAATTTCCCTCTTGACAAGCTCCAAACCTATGGATTTAGAAATCCAGCCCAAGGTCATGATATAAAAAAAGCTATATCAGGGTTCTATAATCGCCAAAGATCGAGATTTTCCATCTATATAAAAATGAATCTCATCAACAATATAGGTTTGTCTACTTTCTTATCTTTAAGCATTTAACTTCTTTGACAAAATGTGTAAGATTAGTGATCCAAATAAGTACCTTGCAAGTCCGATCTTCCGAAGCAGAAATTATCATAGCATTGCAGCCTCCATAATCAATAACAATGTCAGTCACAGACATTGTATGCTCATTAAAATTATGTTCATAAAGAGTTTTCCCTTGCTGCCTCGGGAAATCATCAAATAGCCTAACTAACCACAAAGAGCAAGGAATCAGAATAAAAGACAATGCCTTGCAAAAAAAAACAAACATGAGAACACACAAAGTTTTAACCTTATAAGAGACCAAACTCTAACAGATCCATCTTGAGATCCTGAAATCAACAAAGAATCATCTCCAGAGAACACCAAACATGTCACAGAACGATAATGACCATGCCACTTCTTAAGCAACTTCCCAGTCGCAACCTCCCAAAGGTAAATATCTCCGGAGGATCCACCACCAACTAAGTAAGTTCCTTCATTGTTTGCTACAAGAGCCTTTATTGGTTCCACTGGAAAGCTCCTCACTTCAACTTGAGGCTACAACAATTCAAACAAAGTTTCAAACTTTCAATCCAAAGAGAAGAAAAAACAGTGTTTCAAGTTTGGGAATGAGAGTGATTGAAGAAACCTTAGTCCAAGACCAGTAAAAAATCGAGCCAGAAGAAGTAGATTCTTTACGGAGCTGAGAGGAGGCGAGAAATTTCTCGCCGACGGCGGTGAGACCATGCGCCGGAGAAGCACACTGCTTGAAACGAAGCTGCTCTTTCCCGGTTTTGAGATCCCAGCTTCCAATTCCTTCATCGATTGACGAAGAAGCGATTACAGAAATCTCCATCGCTAAGAGAAAGAGGGAAAAAAAGAGAAACTGATTCCAAAGTCTGGGTTTTGTGATATCTATAAATTAGGGTTTATGAAAATCTGTATTTGATTGAATCAATTAATAGTTTTGGGGAGAATTTGTAATTTCTGTTAAAATAAAGGGACTATAATGTAAAGTTTCGATAATTAAACATTTTATTGGATACGTACAGTAACGGATCGTTTTAGATTGGTAAAAACAATGGCGATGATAAGCTTTTCGTTTCCATCTCCCGCCAAACTTCCGATTAAATCTCCACCGTCCATTTCAAATCGGATCAACGTCGCTGACCGTTTGATTCTCCGTCATCTCAATGCCGGAGACCTTCGTGGAGCGGTTTCAGCTCTTGATCTCATGGCTCGTGATGGGATTCGTCCCATGGATTCTGTCACTTTCTCTTCACTCCTCAAATCTTGTATCCGAGCACGCCATTTTCGTCTCGGGAAACTCGTTCACGCTCGATTAATCGAGTTTGAAATCGAGCCTGACTCGGTTCTCTACAATTCGTTGATTAGCTTGTATTCAAAATCTGGAGATTTGACGAAAGCTAAAGATGTGTTTGAGACTATGGGAAGATTTGGTAAGCGAGATGTTGTTTCGTGGAGTGCGATGATGGCTTGTTTCGGTAACAACGGTAGAGAATTCGATGCGATTAAGCTTTTTGTTGAGTTTCTGGAAATGGGTTTGGTGCCTAATGATTATTGTTACACGGCGGTGATACGAGCTTGTTCAAATTCGGATTTTGTTGGAGTTGGGAGAGTGATTTTAGGGTTTTTGATGAAGACTGGGCATTTTGAGTCTGATGTTTGTGTGGGTTGTTCTTTGATTGACATGTTTGTGAAAGGCGAGAATAGTTTTGAGAATGCGTATAAGGTGTTTGATAAAATGTCTGAACTAAATGTTGTTACTTGGACTTTGATGATTACTCGGTGTATGCAAATGGGGTTTCCTAGGGAAGCGATTAGGTTTTTCTTGGATATGGTTTTAAGCGGATTTGAATCGGATAAGTTTACACTAAGCTCCGTGTTTTCGGCTTGTGCTGAGTTGGAGAATTTGTCTTTGGGAAGGCAGTTGCATTCTTGGGCTATTAGATCAGGGCTTGCGGATGATGTTGAGTGTAGTTTAGTTGATATGTATGCGAAATGTTCTGCGGATGGTTCGGTAGATGACTGCAGGAAGGTGTTTGATAGAATGCAGGATCATAGTGTTATGTCGTGGACGGCATTGATCACTGGTTATATGCAAAACTGTAATCTCGCTACAGAGGCTATTAATCTCTTTAGTGAAATGATAACTCAAGGTCATGTTGAGCCAAATCATTTCACCTTTTCGAGTGCATTCAAGGCGTGTGGAAATGTTTCGGATCCACGGGTAGGTAAACAGGTTCTTGGTCATGCTTTCAAAAGAGGACTTGCTTCGAATAGCAGTGTTTCAAACTCGGTTATCAGCATGTTTGTTAAATGTGACAGGATGGAAGACGCTCGGACAGCTTTTGAATCACTTTCTGAGAAAAACTTGGTCTCCTATAACACCTTTCTTGATGGAACCTGCAGGAACTTGGATTTTGAGCATGCTTTTGAGCTTTTAAGTGAGATCGCTGAGAGAGAATTAGGTGTTAGCGCTTTCACATTTGCTAGCTTGTTGAGTGGAGTTGCAAATGTTGGTTCATTAAGAAAAGGCGAGCAAATCCATTCCCAGGTGCTTAAACTAGGGCTCTCGTGCAATCAACCTGTCTGCAATGCTTTGATCTCTATGTATTCCAAATGCGGAAGCATTGACACAGCTTCCCGAGTCTTCAGTTTAATGGATAATCGTAATGTTATCTCGTGGACTTCAATGATCACAGGTTTCGCTAAACACGGATTCGCTGAAAGGGTCCTCGAAACATTCAACCAAATGACGAAAGAAGGGGTGAAGCCAAACGAGGTCACTTATGTTGCAATCTTATCAGCATGCAGCCATGTTGGTTTGGTCTCTGAAGGATGGAGACATTTCAATTCAATGTATGAAGACCACAAGATCAAACCTAAGATGGAGCACTATGCTTGTATGGTTGATCTTCTATGTCGAGCCGGGCTTCTCACAGATGCATTTGAGTTCATTAACACAATGCCCTTCCAAGCCGATGTTTTAGTATGGCGTACGTTTCTTGGAGCTTGCAGAGTTCACAGTAACACAGAACTCGGAAAGTTAGCTGCGAGGAAGATCTTAGAATTTGATCCGAATGAGCCTGCAGCTTATATACAGCTCTCAAACATATACGCTAGTGCAGGTATCTATATAATTCAAACACAAACCGATAAAAATTCTTTCTTCTACTGATTAAACTTGTGTGAAAGCGAAACTTTGTTGAATATTTCTATGTAGGGAAATGGGAAGAATCCACGGAGATGAGGAGGAAGATGAAAGAGAGAAACTTGGTTAAAGAAGGAGGTTGCAGTTGGATAGAAGTGGGAGATAAGGTTCATAAGTTCTATGTAGGCGATACATCTCACCCGAATGCTCACCAAATATATGATGAATTGGACTGGTTAATTACAGAAATAAAACGCTGCGGATATGTTCCTGATACGGATCTTGTTCTTCACAAGCTAGAGGAAGAGGATGATGAGGCAAAGAAGGAGATGTTACTGTATCAGCACAGTGAGAAAATTGCAGTTGCGTTTGGGCTTATAAGCACGGCGAAATCTAGACCGGTTAGGGTGTTCAAGAACTTACGGGTCTGCGGAGATTGCCATAACGCGATGAAATACATATCGACGGTCTCTGGTAGAGAGATTGTGTTGAGGGATTTGAGTCGTTTTCATCATTTTAAAGATGGAAGATGTTCTTGTAATGATTATTGGTAACTTGAGATTTATACACAACTGAGGCTTTCGGCTTTCTATTCAATAACTAACTTAAAAATAACTTAACCAAATTATTGATGATGTGATGGACTAATTTGGTCTAGTTCAGTTCTGATCTATTCTTTGGATTGATTTTGACAAGCTAATAACTAATAAGCTATGAATTGATTTTTTTTTTTCTATTAGAAAAGATTTCTATAATTGAACTGTTTTCGATAAAAGAAAAAGACTATGTTTATCAAAAGTTTAAATGTAGCATCGTTAACTTTTTCCTAACTTTTGCTTATTTTGGTAAATCAATACACAATCTATAAATTCATGGGATTGACCGTTTATGTAGATCAGATTTTACCTGTCTTGATTCTTCGTCTTGTAAATGGAGTTTTCTCTTGAACTCTCGAATTTTAAGGTAATGATTCAGTTGTTATTTTTTCTCTGCCAAATAGTGATACCGTTCTTGTCTCATTTTTGAATAAATAAGATTCATATATTTTCTTACAGATGATTCAGACAAGTTTTTGGATATTTGTGTTATTAGCAATATCCGGTTTTTCGATTATGGAATCCCGCATTCAAAACAATGTGGGATCAACAAGCATTGAAAGCAATAAGGGGATTGAATATCTGGCGTTGAATTGTCGAAAACACAGAGCGGTTTTGACGGATTTTGGAGCTATTGGAGATGGAAAAACCTCAAACACGAAAGCGTTTAGAGAAGCAATAACCAAGCTTACTACAAAGGCGGTTGACGGTGGAGTCCAACTCATTGTACCGCCGGGGAATTGGCTCACCGGAAGTTTCAACCTCACAAGCCATTTTACTTTGTTTATTCAGCAAGGTGCAACTATTCTTGCTTCTCAGGTAATATATACGTTCAAAATTTTAGTTATAGTACTATATATAAATGTACATAATAATGATTAACAATTCAATTTGAAAATCATATTTGGTTTTATTTTGGTTTGAACAAACAGGATGAATCTGAATATCCTATGATTCCGCCTTTGCCGTCATACGGAGAGGCAAGGTTTACTAGTTTAATATACGGAAGTAACCTAACTGATGTTGTTATCACCGGTAAGCACAACAAAAATCATTAAAATCGTTTGATGGGATATGAGATTGAATCAAAATGTATTTATAAGATCAAATTTATTGATTAGGTAACAAAGGAACGATTAATGGACAAGGGAAATCATGGTGGGTGAAGTATCGAAGTGGTGGTTTCAAGTCGATATCAAGACCTTTGTTGATCGAAATCATCTTCTCCGAAAACGTCCAAATCTCGAATATCAATTTGATCGACTCTCCAATGTGGAACATTCATCCTGTTTATTGCAATAATGTCATCGTTAAAGATATTAAAATCGTTGCTCCTATCGACTCTCCTAACACCGATGGAATCAACCCTGGTATGCTATGTCTTCTATCTATACATTATGATATATGGCTTCTAGTTGACAAAAAACATACCACTAAATCAAACACAGAAACTAATGCTACTTAACCAATCCTAATAGTAAATCGAAATAAATTTATTTCGGTATGATATAACGATTTTCTAGATTCTAAATGAACTAATCATAATGTATTTTTAACAAAAAAAAATCGTATTGCTATCTTAATAACACAAATTAATCCAGTGTTGTACTCTAAGATAGTCATACGACATGTCTACACTTGGTTTAACACTCATGTTGCTTCCATAGATTCTTGCACGAACACACTAATAGAAGACTGCTCCGTAGTCTCCGGAGACGATTGCATTGCCGTCAAAAGTGGAATCGACCAATTCGGGATCGCCACGGGAATGCCAACACAACAGCTATCCATTAGACGTCTCACTTGCATTTCTCCCGACAGCGCAGGTATTGCCATTGGGAGTGAAATGTCCGGAGGAATCAAAGATGTTAGAATCGAAGACGTGACTCTAATCAACACGCAATCCGCTATCCGAATCAAAACCGCTGTGGGGCGTGGCGGTTACGTTAAAAACATTTTCGCTAGGAGATTTACAATGAAGACAATGAAATACGTTTTCTGGATGACCGGTTCGTATAAATTGCATCCCGTAGGCGGATTTGATCCTAAGGCGTTGCCGGAGATTAGCAATATCAATTACCGTGACATGACGGCAGAAAACGTTACGATTTCGGCGAAGCTTGAAGGGATCAAGAACGACCCTTTTACAGGTTTATGCATGTCCAATGTGACTATAGCTTTGTCACCGGACCCGAAGAAGCTGCAGTGGAACTGTACGGATGTCTCCGGAGTTACTAGTAGGGTTAAACCGGAGCCGTGCAGTTTGTTGCCGGATAAGGGAACTACGATGGATTGTGATTTTCCGACAGATAAGATTCCTATTGAGAGTGTTGTGTTGAACAAATGTTATGCTTAAGTGTTTGTAACTTTGTACAGATTTATGTTCATTCTTCAGTTTAAAAATCCGCTAATAATTTTCACAAACTTTATAGTAATAAACATCCAACAAAATAATTTTGAATCAATTTTTCAATAAAATGTAATTTAATAATAATGTGTCAAATTTTACAAAATCGAATTAAGGAAACTTAGCCGTTCTTATCCTTTTTTTTTGTTTTTTTTTGCCGTATAGATTTATTATTTATTGCAAATTATGAGAACTTGTTACATAGACGATTCTACGACGAACAATTCTTTCCGACCCTTATTAAATCCACGCCTACGACACTTCCTTCTTCATGCTTGATGGACACACCTTCAATGACCACGACCTGACGATACTTCCCTCTCTGCGTAGAATCCTGGCGAACGGCTATAATTGTACATCGCTAGAGATCTCTTGCACACTTGCCTCCATTAATCTGCAAATTTGTTAATAAATCGCAGTATCTAGGACTCGAACCCCAGACCTCTTGGTGTAGAAGCATTAATTAATGCTTAGTCAGCCAATGGGCCAAAGGGGCTTCCACGTCTTTTTTTTTTTTGTTCTTGATGTGGTTAAAGTTATATATTGAAAATTTAAAATGGTCAGTTAACGTGGTTCATATATTCATAAACGAGTTTATCTAATTTTAGGCTAGTTTTATGAATAGAAGTGTATAATTTTTACCCTCGGAAACAAAAGAATTGTATAGTTTTTTACTTTATAGTAAGTTTGTGTATTTCAACATATATGTGGAGAATTTATATAGTTTTAGACATGTCTGAATAAAATTGTATAATTTTTACCGTCGGAAACAAAAAGCTTCTTTTGAAGCCATGCACGGCCTAATCCCATTTTCTCATAGGCGCAATTTCGGTCTTGAATTATCTGAACATTCTTTTCTTCCTTTAAAATTTGTCTGAACATGAAATTCAAGATTAAAGTAGAAAAAATTTCGGTACTACTTTCCCAGACATGAAAATAATTTAAACATTTACCAAACAAGTTTTACTGTTTGAATAGTTAAACCAAATCAATCTGTTTTGACGGAATTGGTTTGGTTAAACCGAATGGACCGGTCTCTTTTTTTCTATCTTTGGGACTTTTGTCTGAATAGGTTAAAAACGAAAACGACGTCGTTGTTTAATGGACCTTTCAGCCTCCGTCCGTCCGTGTAACTAGATTCCACAAGATGATGAATCTGACACGCGCTCGCCACACTCCCTTTTTATCCTTAACCACACTTTTTTTTTTTTCCTTTGATAAAATTCATCATCATCCTCATTCTTTCTTCTTCTTCGTTGAAAAATCTGTCTTGTCTTCTTCTTCTCCTCAGGACGAGAACGAAGAGATAATTTGAACGAAGCACTTCTCCATATAACAAAGGTATTTCTCATGCATTCATGCTTCTTGTCCTATCGGGATTTTGGTTGATATTTCCTTCGAGAAATTGTCTCAATACCAGTAGTGTTGGAAATTGATTTGCTTAGATATGATTATATATGAATGAACGAACACATCCATGGTTTGTTACTTTGTTTCCTGGATTTTGATTTTTGGTAGGCTTGTTTTGGTCCTTTCACCAACTTGGAATTTGCGTTACATGTTTCGTTTCTTGCCTTTGTGGTTATGCCTAGGTTTTTATTCCTTAGTATCTTCCAACCAATTAAACATTGTAGCTTTTGAATTTAACCAAATATTGAAATTGATCAATCTCTTTTTGGATCACTATCATGAAAACAGATCATGGCTTTGTATACAAGTTCTGCTACTTCCTTCACAAATCTCAGCACAGCACATTCCAACAATGTGAGTAACACTATGATCAAGCTGGTCAAGCTCATTATTGAAATTGTCTCCTCTAGTTTCCATTTCTTTGAGACATTATGATAATTTCCTTTTTGTTTTAAAAACTTTTTTAGGGTTTCTATTTCCTTATTCCCTACGGTGTTTGCTTTTACGTTTTATTTATATATATAGAGATGAAGATGACCAAGTCTTGTTAGTTTCTTCTCATAGAGAGTGTTTTTTTTTTTTTTAATATTCTGGTTCCGGATTCTTAACTCTATAACAGTTTCTCTTTACGGTTTGTTTCTCAGGTGATCCAATTAGTCGATATGGTAGGAATTGATTCAAGTCACTTGCTGAGAGACAAGATCCTTTGCTTCACCAGCAGGTCTCACATGAACAACCAACATAGGAAGACTAGTTCTTCATTATCACTTAATCAGATGAAACTTCCTATTCCGAGAATCGTAGCTTTTGCCTCAGCGCGCGGTGAAGGAGAAGCTGAAAGTTTCAGCAGATTGGAAGCTACCTTTGGTGATAATACCTCCACAGAATGTACCTGGAGTTTTGATTTTCCACAGTCTAAAGTTGAGGTTTCTCATCTCCAGTCAGAAGCACACCTCTCTGGAAGCAATGGGGACAATAATGTGGCTAGTGTTATCGAAAAACTAAATGCTCTTCGGTCACATCTATTAGCAGCAGAGAAGTGGAACTCTTCTCAGCTACACTTATGTGACAGGTCTGTTAACCATTTTATATATAGTTTGCATTACTACTAAGTCTTCGGATTTGCTATAGCCTAATTTCGTAACACCGTCTCTTGCAGTAAATATCTGGAATGTGCAACAAACTTAGTTCATTATATGGCTTTGAGGTCCCTGGACATTGAGCAGCTGAACAACCATCTTGCTTCTCTTGGTCTGTCAAGTTTAGACAACAACAATCTCGATGTTCTAGCCCGCCTTAACGCATCTATTAATCTGTTGATGAACGATCAAAACGCTGTGACGGAGTCTTGGACTAATGCATATCCCAAGGGAAAAAGTACTAAGAAGAAAGATAAAGGGAGGGTATTATCATACAAAGAGTCATTACTTGGTAAACTTCGTGAAGGAAGAAGTACTCATATCATGGTAACTGTTGGTGAAGAAGCAACTTTGGGTGAAACATTTATAACCGATATTCTTAAGGCTGGAACATCCATTATCCGCATAAACTGTGCACATGGAGATCCAAGCATTTGGGGTGAGATCATCAAAAGAGTAAGAAGAACTTCTCAGATGCTAGAGATGCCATGCCGCGTTCATATGGATTTAGCGGGACCAAAACTCAGAACTGGTACCTTAAAACCTGGTCCCTGTGTGATGAAAGTTTCACCAAAAAAAGATGCTTATGGAAATATTGTTTCTCCTGCTGTGGTATGGCTCTGCCTCACAGGAACAGAACCGCCTACTCACATTTTTCCCGATGCTACTATATCGGTCCAAGACCAAAATTTTCTTGCTGGTCTCCAAATTGGTGATTCTATAAAACTATTTGACGCTAGAGGAAGAAAGAGGAGACTTAAAATCTCAAAAGAGTTTCCCGTTTTCTCCAGTACCGGGTTTGTGGCTGAATGTTTCGACACTGCTTATATAGAGTCTGGAACTGAGTTAAGCGCTAAGGGAAAGAAAGGGAGACGTTTGGTTGGACGAGTAGTAGATGTTCCTCCCAAGGAATCTTTTGTAAGGCTTAAAGTTGGAGATTTACTTGTCATACCCCGAGAAGGATCGCTCGATGAACCATCTGTAACTGTTCCAGGAGCTCATAGGTTAACTTGTCCTTCCGGTTATTTGTTTGATTCAGTCAAGCCTGGTGAAACCATTGGTTTTGATGATGGAAAAGTATGGGGAGTAATAAAAGGATCAAGCCCTTCAGAGGTAATTGTCTCCATCACTCATGCTGGTCCAAAAGGTACAAAACTAGGATCAGAGAAGTCCATTAACATACCGCAGAGCGATATCCGTTTTAAAGGCTTAACATCAAAAGACATCAAAGATCTTGAATTTGTAGCTTCACATGCGGACATGGTTGGCATTTCTTTTATACGCGATGTCCATGATATTACTGTTCTTCGACAAGAGTTGAAGAAAAGGAAACTAGATGATCTTGGTATTGTTTTAAAGATTGAAACGGAAAGTGGATTCAAGAATATGTCCTTGATTCTATTAGAAGCAATGAAGTGTTCGAATCCTTTAGGAGTTATGATAGCTCGAGGCGATCTTGCGGTGGAGTGTGGATGGGAGAGATTGGCTAATATACAGGAAGAGATTATAGCTATCTGTAAAGCTGCTCGTGTACCGGTAATTATGGCAACTCAGGTTCTTGAATCACTCGTGAAATCCGGTGTTCCAACTCGAGCTGAGATCACAGATGCTTCAAATGCCAAAAGGTCAAATATTTTGCTCCAAACATGATTTTGGTAAAACTTACAGTTTCTTTGTCTAATTTTGGATTTTGAAAATATGCAGGGCGAGCTGTGTGATGTTGAACAAAGGCAAGAATATCGTTGAAGCTGTTTCGATGTTGGATACTATTCTTCATACCAAGCTTATCTACAAGAAACCAGACTCTGAAAATCTCCATTGATACTTCTCACTAAAAACAGAACTTGTTGTTGGCTTGTAAATTCTGTATCTCAGCTTCTGTGAAAGTGGGTGTCATGATTTAGACCGGTCGGTTCACAATGACGGTTCTGCACTGGAATCTCTAGCCTGTTATAGGTTCTATAAGGAAAAAAGCTTTTAGGGAAATAAATGTATTTAGGATATGAACAGGTTAATACTGATGATAATAGAGATTGTAAGATCGAAGGATTTAGCTTTTTCACTCTTGTTTTCCCATCTTATTATACAGTGTTTCCAATTTGATGATCCTATAGAAAGGCCTAACATCATATGATCTCATCAGGCTACTGTTTAAGAAAAAGAAACAAAAACGATTTTGACCATTTTAATGTCCTCTCTTGTAGAGCATTAGCCAAATATCTAGGAATCTCGAATGTACAAATACTTTTTTGCTACTTCAAGCAAAGAGAAGACTCCGTTGGAACTGCACTGGATGCATTTGCATGCAACAAATAATGCTCCCGTAAGCGACGGCACCATTGAAGCACTGCAACATATAGAGACAGAGAGAGCAAACTTTTAGCAACCCACAAATTTGGTATATACAACACATAAAAATATAGTTAACAACATTGGATCAACCACAGGTATAATAAACCCAAGATTGTCCATTGAAAGACTCACAGTACATAGCCGCAAGGGAGAACATCGTGCAAGTCTTGAAATAGAACTGTGCCGCCTGAATGCAAATTATAAGAAAAAAAGGTAATAAGAATCATCAAATGTGTTGTGAGATTTACCATAGTCATGGTTAAAAATCATATGAGGTCACCTTAGACAAAACAATTCCCAAAAGGACCACCGTAATGGCCAGAAAACGGGCTACAATCCGGGCCTCAGGGTATCACTTTCCAAGGGTTGTTAAGCCTACAATGCTTAGTATTCCAACACACTATGATACTCGACATTAAAGGATTTGATCAGAACAACAAGAACAACATATAGAACGTTATTCATAGTCAGATCAAAAACAAGTTTTACCTCGAGACCAAACAAGTGTTGGAATACTGGTATAACTGGAAACATGCTTAGTGCATATGGACTTGTAAAATCATGGTCATGGAACAAACGCTACTTTCTCCTGAAGCCATACTAAAAAGAAATGAAGAATACACATTTCCTAAACAGACTATGAAACATTAATGTAAATAATTACTGTTATTCCGACCGAGAGATAAGGTTCATGCATCGCCTGATAACAACTATCCTCAATTACATGTCCATGATAGGTTGTGATTAAAACAGGAACATATATCTATTGTTCAGATTTTGTTTAGTGACAGTGAAAGCCTTTTTCCATACCATAATCCTTGACACCGTGGGGCTCTACCAATGAGCACTGTTGTCCCTCAGATACTCAGAGTCGTGATTATTAAGAATACAAATGATCGGAAAGTTTTTATTTTATAACAGTTTTTGATCCCTCATGATATCTTTACCCAATTTTTTGTTTTTTTGCATCCTCTCGCGATTGTTGCACAAAGCTTCAACACAATTGATTTGTGTGAAAAGCATCCTTAAGGTCTGAAAACTCTAAAATGACTTTCAATCATGATAATCACAAAATTGAGACAATTTGGAACCCTCCTACTCTTCCAAACCTGAGACAATTTGGTGTCCAGAACTGTCCAAAGCTTACTAGAGCTGCCACTAAGTGTCTGAGACAAGAACTCCAGTCGATGATGATGGTCAAGTTGAAGGCTGAAGCTCTCTGGCTGCTTGATTTTCTCACCCTATGTGTATTAGGATCTTCTCAGCACTAATTTGGTTTGTATTTGCATTTATAGTGATCATTATGTTAGTGGAAATCTACCATGTTGTTAAGATAAAAACATGTTTATACGCATTGCGTGATATCCATAAAGATCTCATCAGGCTATCTTTTTAAGGAAAAAAACTATTAAGTACAGAGACCCCGTTGGAACCGCATTGGATGCATTTGCATTCAGCAAATACTGCTTCCGCTCTCGAAGGCACCATAGAAGCACTACATACACAAAGACAGAAAGAGAGAGAGATAGCAACAAATTTAGCATTGGTGAATAATAGTGGAAGAGCGCATGTATAATAAACTCATGACTGTTCATTGAGAGACTCACAGTACATAGACGCAGGGGAGAACATCGAGCAAGTCTTGAAATAGCATTGTGCCGCCTGCAACTTATAAGAATTATCAAATGTGTTCTGAGATTTATCATAGTCATGGTGAAAAATCATATGACATCACCTTAGACAAAACCATTCCCAAAAGGACCACCGGAATGGCCAGAAAACGAGCGAAAATCCGGGCCTCAGGGACTCGCTTTCCAAGGGTTGTGAAGCCTACGATGCTTAGTATTCCAAAACACTGAGATGCTCAACATTGAACAATTTGATCAGAACAACCACAAAAAAGATAGATATACTTTCTGTTTACATAATTGTCAGATTGAAAAAAATGATTACCTCCAGACCAATCAAGTGGTAGAATACTGTTAGAACTGGAAACATCCTTAGTGCATATGGACTTGCAAGATCATCAGGGAGAAACGCACTGTCTACTGTGAAGGATGCTATTTTCTCCTGAAACCATTCTGAAAATATGAAGAAAACACATTCCTCTAACAGACTATGAAGCATTAATGTAACTTACTGTTATTCCCAGCCAGGGATAGAGCCAAGGCTGTAAAACATTTCTCGCTAAAGAGAAGGCTGAAGTAGAACAGTTAATTATATCTTCACCACCATACCTGCATTGCCGCAAGCAATACCAGAATTAAGCCAATATTGGGAGCAAGATACAATGAAACAAACTTGAATGCAGGTGTACCATAATACAAATCAGTAAACATAAATGTTGTAAGGTTGTAGCAGAAAGAAGAAGAAGTATCAGTTGGCGAAGGGAGGCAAGTCGGTGGGTTTGGTTAATAAATAAGTATTAAAGGCACGACGAGCGTAGAGTCTATCAGACACTTGAGAGAGGTAAAAAGATGCTTACTCAGTCACCGAATTGTCGAATTCTTTATGACTTGTAGTAACAACAGTTACATCTCCTCCCTGAGTAAAAAAAGAAAATGGAGTAGAGAAATGAGGAAGGTTTTGGGTTAAGACATGCTAGCAAAACAGAGGATTTCCAGAGCAGCAAAATTGTGGTACCTGATCCTTTATATCCAAACATACTCTCGCGAGTCTCGATAGCGTCTTCGTGATCAGATAGTAGATCTGCACAAGGAAATTTGCTCAGAAATCACAGAATCACTTTCAAGCTATCCATAGTTTTAGGTTCCTGATAATAAGTATCCTCATTCACATGTCTATAATAGGCTAAAACTCGATGGTTGTGAATAAAACAGGAACAAATAGCTATTGTTCAATGAGAGTGAAAGCCTTTTCCATACCATAATCCTGGACAAGGAGGTGATAAAACTGAGCAGACTTGTCACTAGTGGAAGTAATAACTAATAAGGCGCTAAGAACAAGGGAAATCCACCTGCAATCACACATCAATACACAACATGTAAAAACAGCATCTCTAGTAACAAGAAAATGGATCCCAACACACACAAAACACACACATTTTGGCTTTAGATACAAAGGAAGAGAAGTAATTTAGCCTTTTTACCAGTTAAATTCTGTGAAAGAATGCACCTTGTCAACAAACTGGTGAGCATTTTACCAAAAAAAACAAACTGGTGAGCAGCATCGACAACTTTATCGACAACAGTGATATTTGAAGCCACATCTTGCAGCACTGAGTAATTCTTATTCAAATCTGAGCCTGGAAAACGTGAAGTCGACATAGATCTATGATAGATAGAGACACCAAAAGGAGTGCATAGAGACAAAAGTGAAGAGCTTCTCATCAGATGCTGCTGAGAGAGAATCATCGAGCTGGTAAAAGATCTCTGATGAAGAAAAGTGTCGTAATTTAGCTTCTGTTCACGATAAATGATAGAGCTACAAGATGGTTTGTAGCAACTAGCACTAAACAAGGATCTGAGGGACAAAGTACGTCTCAAAGCCATTACAGAATCCACTCAAAAAACCCTGTAAAATACTTAAAAGATTAGTGATTTGGGATCAGACACTGATTAAAGATACAACAGAGAGCTTGGAGAAAAGTCTCTGATCGAAAAGTTACAACGGCAACGAAGGGAGAAATGAAAGTTAGGGTTTTTGTGGGCTCACAGAGGCTCCATTCAATGGGAGATTCAAGCTCATACTTTTTGGCTGGGTGAAAACAAAATGTACAATTTCATGACTTTTGCACTGAAGGAGACGACAAATTTGCAAGGAAGAAAGAAAAAAAAAATGCCACGTCATCGTTCCCGCCATCGTTTGTGATGCATCATCACGCTATGACCGTTGGATTTTCTTGTGAGGTAATTGACATCTTTACACTTAAATCAAAATTATTCTCTTATTAAAACCGTAACGTTGAGAAGCTTAGCATCAAATACGACTACTACTATGGGTTTTTGGTTGCTCGAGAGACATAACTCATTTGTCGTCTATCTTTTTGATATCTTCTTCAGGTCCCTTAAAGCCATTTTCCCCAAATCCTCTTGAAAAGCATTGTCATCACATATTCAGGAACCTCTGGAATGCCATAATGCTTCATCACTGCCGGACGGCGAATCACTGCACACAGAGAGATATTTAAGAAATAGCAACATCAACAGTAACCCCCACGAACCTAACCAATCCCATAAGATTTGAAAACTCACCGAGCATATACGCAATGGAGAACATCATGCAACTCATCAAATAGCAATGTACACCCTGCAATGCAACTTACACAAAATTAACTACTTTTAAGATCCTTTATGAGATTTATCATATTCCTCATTTGGTGAAAATCCTAACTTCACCTTTGAAACCATTATTGCCACAACAAACATAGGTATGACCATAATCCGGGTCAGCTTTTTGGGGATCATTGCGCCTTCAAGGCCTACCGTTGCATCGTACTGTGATGAGAATTTTATCAGAACCAACCACAAGATAAGATATACTTGGTTATATCGAAAACAGTGCTATTGATACCTCTATCATAATCCAGAAAGTCAACCATGTTAGAAGTGGAAAGATTAATGATGTATCATGCGTTGTAAGATCAGTGAACCAAAGAACACCGCCTGTTTTGAAGGATGCTACTTCCTCTGTCATGTTACTAATCTGGAAGCAAGAATTACTGGGGATGAGATAGGAAAAGAAGCACATGCCTAAACAGATTATGAAGATGGTTGACTTTCTGGATTATGATAGAGGTATCATCGACTTTTTCTAAATACAAACTCAACTTCTTTTCAAACACTCAACTTTTGTTCTTCTACTTAAGGTAGACCAAAACAAACTTCTCAAGATAACCTAGACTCAACCAGAGTCTGATAACTACTCTAAGGATAAATCTTTTAGAATCCTGTAATAGCTACAGAACCACTAGAGAGAGCGGATACATTTTTTTCTTCTGTATTTTAAGGATATGAAGTCGAGTTAGTGACATAAGTTTCAATTTGCCAGCAATTTTCGAAATAGTAATGTTGCGGTAGTTAGAAGAATAACCCAAAGAAATCAATAAACAGGTTGTAGAAAAGAAGTAAAAAGATTCTTACTTCTTCAGCAACTTGTCAAACTCTATCCGATGTTCAGCAAGAGCAGCTGGATCCTTAGTCTCCATTGATGCTGTAGAGTGTATTCCTAGCATCTACAAGATCAAATAGTGATATGGATGGTGATAAGATATGATAAAGGTAAGCTAAATATGCATGTAGCACAAGCAAGATGCGATAATATTATTGTCTTCCATAAATACTCTTGCATCAAAAGCCACACATTTAGTTAGGTTCATGCATTGCCTGATAGCTATAAATAGAATCCAAGCACTCAATAGTTATCAAGAAAGGAAAATTCTCTCGAGAGTTATTTTTTATTTCAAATCTGAGCTGTCTTTACATAAGCACTATGTTCAATGTTTCAATACCATAATCCTTGACCTCCATCTTTCGTTATCAATCATGAGCGGAATTGTAACTCCTCGAATCAAAAGGGTGGCAAGAACAATGGAAGCCCACCTGCAATCACACCCAACAATTATATATGAAAACACAGAGATGATTTAAAAAAACGAATGGTCATTTTAGATATGGAAGAATACATGTCAGACAACATTCTAGACTGTATTTCTCCAATACAACCTTCCAAAGACGACATGATTGACAAGTGTAACCATAACTTGCAAGTTGATCAAAACATAGCAAAAGAGCTTATCAATTGTTGTCTTACCAGTTTAAGCCTGTGTAAGAGTGCAGTGTTTCAATTAATGCCTTAACAATGTCGAAATTGTATGAGTATGACCAATCCTGGGAAGCCACATTTTCCATCACCGAATCTATCGGAGTTCCTGCAACTTCACTTACATTGCAAGAATCATCTGAGCCTGGAACATGAGAAGTCGACATAGAGCGATGATGGATAGAGACACCAAAAGGAGTGCATAGAGACAAATGTGAAGAAGAGCTTCTGAGTTGCTGAGAGAGAATGGAGCTGCTAAAGGATCTCTGATGAAGCGGAGAGCCGTAATTTGGCTTCTTTTCATGAACATTATCATGAAGAATGATACCGCTATAGGATGGTTGGTAGCAGCGAGCATTGAACAAGGATCTGAGGGATAAAGTGCGTCTCAAGGCCATTACAGAATCTACTCAAAACCCTGTAAACAGTAAAAGACTAGTGATATTGGTAACAGAAAGATGATCAAGGTAAGGAAAAAGATAAGTGGTTCATGTTTGTAAACTAACATAATACGAATCTTTTAATAAATGAAAGATTATAAGATATGCTTCAAATATCTCCTATAATCCCACAGAAAAATTACAGAGATTATTATCAATCACAAGTTGACAACCATAACTTAACCAAAACAGAGAGCTTAAAGAACAGAGCTTAGAGAAAACACTATAAACCAAACACTAGCTCACTTTTTTCTAAATTGAGAAACGCAGAACCCAAAAAAGAGAGAATAAACACGAGAATGTTAGAGCACCCATTATGATCAAAACAAGGTAAATGATGAAACAGAGAGACAAACCTGATCAGAATTTTTTTACACGGCGACGGAAGAACAGAACCGTGGGAAAAACTGGAGTCTGGGAGCTAGGGTTTTCTTCGTGAGCAAACGAACTCATTGAGCCTATATTTAATGGGAGATTCAAACTCATGTTTTCTTGATGGTTGAAAGTTGAAACAGATTGTACACACTGAAGAAGACGACAAAATTGCAAAAAGAAAAAAAAAAACAGACAAAATTAATGAGACCGGTCTGATCCGGTTTAATTATATATGATGGTTGAACCTCTATAACCGGCTTACTCACAAACATTTTTAGTTTTTTACCGTTGCTGGTCGATCGCTATATACCGTTGATGATGGTGATGAGGTTTGATTTCAAAGCTCATGAAACGCATCAATGTCGATCTCCGTCTTCTCCATTTTCCGGAATTCAGAAAATTTCAAACTCGAAAAGTAACTTCTTCCGTACCCAAACTGGAACTTGATCAAAAAAATTCACCAAAGGAGACAGCTTTCATGCTTGGTCAGGTACTTGACACTTACCCAGATCTCAAAACGCTTAGAACAGTCCACTCCAGAATCATTTCAGAAGATCTACGCTACAATTCTTCTCTAGGCGTTAAACTTATGAGAGCTTATGCTTCTCTAAAAGATGTGGCAACAGCACGCAAGGTGTTCGACGAAATTCCTGAGAGAAACGTAATTATCATTAATGTTATGATCAGAAGCTATGTTAATAATGGGTTTTACCGTGAAGGTATTCAAGTGTTTGGGACGATGTGTAGTTGTCATGTTAAACCTGATCATTACACTTTCCCGTGTGTTCTAAAGGCATGTTCTTGCTCTGGGAATATTGTCATTGGGAAGAAAATTCATGGGTCTGCTACAAAAGTTGGGCTCTCTTCGACTTTGTTTGTTGGGAATGGTTTAGTTTCTATGTATGGAAAGTGTGGATTTTTATCTGAAGCAAGGCTTGTACTTGATGAGATGTCTAGGAGAGATGTGGTCTCTTGGAACTCGTTAGTTGCTGGGTATGCGCAAAATCAGAGATTTGATGATGCTTTGGAAGTTTGTAGGGAAATGGAATCTGTGAAGATAAGCCACGATGCTGGCACCATGGCTAGTCTGTTACCAGCAGTGAGTAACACTACAACTGAAAACGTTATGTATGTTAAAGATATGTTTTTTAAAATGGGGAAAAAGAGTTTGGTTTCATGGAATGTGATGATCGGTGTGTATATGAAAAACGCGATGCCTGTTGAAGCCGTGGAGTTGTATTCCGGAATGGAGGCTGATGGGTTCGAACCTGATGCAGTCTCGATCACAAGTGTGTTACCTGCTTGTGGAGATACATCTGCTCTGTCTCTTGGTAAGAAAATCCATGGATACATTGAGAGAAAGAAGCTGATACCGAATCTGTTGTTAGAGAATGCACTGATTGATATGTATGCGAAATGCGGATGTTTAGACAGAGCGAGAGATGTGTTTGAGAACATGAAGTCACGTGATGTTGTGTCTTGGACAGCTATGATTTCAGCTTATGGATTCAGCGGAAGAGGCTGTGACGCAGTGGCATTGTTTTCGAAAATGCAAGATTCGGGTCTCGTCCCTGATTCAATTGCGTTTGTCACAACGCTCGCTGCTTGTAGCCACGCAGGATTACTAGAAGAAGGTAGGAGTTGTTTCAAACTCATGACAGATCATTACAAGATCACTCCTAGGTTAGAGCATTTGGCTTGTATGGTGGATCTTCTTGGCCGAGCCGGGAAAGTGAAAGAAGCCTACAAATTCATACAAGAAATGCCAATGGAACCAAACGAGAGAGTTTGGGGAGCGTTATTAGGAGCTTGCAGAGTGCATTCCAATACAGATATCGGTCTACTAGCAGCTGATAAACTTTTCCAGTTAGCACCAGAGCAATCGGGTTACTACGTATTGCTTTCTAACATTTACGCAAAGGCTGGAAGATGGGAAGAAGTGACTAACATCAGAAACATAATGAAGAGCAAAGGGTTAAAGAAGAATCCCGGAGCAAGCAATGTTGAGGTGAACAGAATAATTCATACATTCTTAGTAGGCGACAGGTCACACCCGCAATCCGCTGAGATCTACAGAGAGCTGGATGTTTTAGTAAAGAAAATGAAAGAGTTAGGTTATGTTCCTGATTCAGAATCAGCACTTCACGATGTAGAAGAAGAAGATAAAGAGACGCATTTAGCTGTTCACAGTGAGAAATTAGCCATAGTGTTTGCTCTGATGAACACAGAAGAAGAAGATAGTAATAATGCGATAAGAATAACGAAGAATCTTAGGATATGTGGAGATTGTCATGTTGCAGCTAAGCTTATCTCACAGATAACTTCTCGAGAGATCATTATCAGGGACACTAATAGATTTCATGTGTTTCGGTTTGGTGTTTGCTCTTGTGGTGACTATTGGTGAACCAAAATTAAAAATGTAACATTACGAAAAACGCAGCGTTTTGATGATAGTGAAAGTTACACTTTTTAGACAATATCTTGTTGGGTTTCGACGAATGAGAATATGACACGTCATCAATGGTAAGGAAAATTCAGCAAATAGATAGCCTAATCTGCAAATCCTTGTCCAGCTTCTGAGCTCAGAGATAGAGAGAGCGAGAGGTTAGAGATAGTAGTAGTTTTACCGATGATTGAGTCGGTTATGGCCATCCGTCTCTCCACCGGATTTTGCTCGTCAACGGCGTTACTCCGTAAGCTCTATTTCTCTCTCTGTTATATTGATTAATAGCAGAATTTATGTTCAGTTCTTCAATTCCCTCTTTATTGAGTCTTTGTTCATTCGTCTCATGCTAAATTTGCAGAGTATCGTAGTGCACCGAGCTCGGAGGAGGGAGGAAACTGCTTCCATTATGCGTCCCGCCGCGTTTTTCAGCCTCAACGTCTCAACCATATTGATGGGTACTGAATACTGATAGAATGACTTTGTTCCGTCATTAAATTGCAAAATAGTTTAGAGATTGACTTGTTGAGAGTTTTAGTTTCGTCAGGTGGATAGATTCTAGTATTTGAGTGCTTAGTGTATACTACGAGTGCAATATGTTTCTTGTCAGCTGTGAATGTTGAATTTAGTGTGAAGTGGATGTTTCTTGATTATATGATTATATAGAGATAGAGCACTAAGTTAGATGCTTCTTTAGTGAGCCGTGGAACCACCAGTAAAAGATCGATTCTTTTTAAATTTTGCTCGGATATTACAGATTCTGTATATTTTGGTTTTCTTCATATATGTAAATTCTCACATTCATATATGCACTTTTCTAGGAGTGGATTTCTGAAGTACAACAGTGACTATTTAACTAGAAAACACCTGAGGAAGAATCGAACGCAAGCCACAGCCGAGTACGTAGATTCAGCTTCAGATCCAGGAAAGCAAACTGGGAAGTCAAGGTATCATCCTTCAGAAGAAATAAGAGCCTCTTTGCCACAGAATGCCGAAGATTCCAGGCTTTCACCTGCAGAAACTACTAGAACCATCATTGAGGTGTTATATTGCGTCTTTCAATCAGCATAAGCTACTTTTTTGGTGAAAGCATTGTTGTGCCAATGGTCCAATACCTTATGTTACATGCATTGTTGCAGTCACATGTTAGTGTTTAGTAGTTTTGCTAGCTCCTATATATGGGTAGTTTCAATATTCATCTATCAATTTTCAGTAGTCCTCTATAGAATCCTCTTAGGTAGAGAAATTGTTTTTCTTGACATAGTCTACGTAAGTCTGCATTTTTGTCCATGATCCGTTTTTGGGCATCTAACATTTCCCGTAGTGTGTCTTGTCCAGGTGAACAATAAAGGAACCCTGATGCTTACAGGTTCAATTGGTGATGGAGTTCATGAGAATATTCTCTGGCCAGATATACCTTACATAACAGATCAGAATGGAAGTAAGATAAAATTTAATCATCCTTAGTTTCTGTCATTATTTAATCTACCTTAACATCGTCACGATGTAACCACCCTAATGCCCTGCAGATTTGTACTTTCAAGTAAAGGAGGATGAGGATGTCATGCAGTCCGTTACTTCTGAAAATAATTATGTGGTATGTTTCACAAGACATGCATATCCTATTTACATTATATGTATAACCAAATTGGGAATGTTCCAAGTGTTTCAAATCTAAGCTTTGTCGGATGAGAGATCTGTTCTTTTTTCTGTTACAGTAGCTAAAGCATCTATCTTCTGACGTTTTATTTTTTGTTAATTCACCATTATTTTAAACTGAAACGCACATGCATGCATCAATATGCAGCCTTCTAGCTTCAATATGTTTCTCTTGATTATATCTGACTATACTGCTCTGTGTTGTTTTTTCTTGACCTTATTCTGTACTAACCTCTAAGATGTTATGGATGCATTGCAGCAAGTTATAGTTGGTTTTGATACGATGGAGATGATCAAGGAAATGGAGCTGATGGGTCTTTCTGATAGTGACTTTGAAACTGAAGATGATGAAAGTGGAGAGGATGACAGTGAGGATACAGGAGAAGACGAAGATGAGGAGGTTTAACAAATTTTTTTATTTCATCTTTTATATTGAGTCACTAAAGAACTCTATAAGAGTAATACTTTTGCCATGTCTTAGCATGCTTCACTAGCAACCGTTTTCTTGACTTCAGGAATGGGTTGCTGTTCTAGAGGATGAAGATGAAGACGACGATGATGATGAGGATGATGATGATGATGATGATGATGATGATTCTGATTCCGATGAATCGCTGGGAGACTGGGCAAATTTGGAAACAATGAGGAGTTGCCATCCCATGTTTTTTGCAAAGAGAATGACTGAGGTTGGCTTTTAGCCTTAAATTCATTAAAAAAATGTGTTGTGATTCTTTAGAAAAATGATATTCAAGATCATTTTCAAACCTGAGGCTAAAAGAGAATGACTGAGGTTAACTTTTAAGACATTTTGTTTGTTGTCAAATTTAGGTTGCTTCAAATGATCCTGTTGATTGGATGGATCAGCCATCTGCTGGCCTTGCTATCCAGGGACTTCTGAGTCATATCTTAGTGGAAGATTATTCAGATATCCAAAAGAAACTTGCTGATAGTAATTCTACAAGTACAAACAGAAACAAGGATGCAGAAAACTTAGAAGAAAAGCTTGCAGACATTAGTAAGGCTGGTGATGAAGAATCTGACATAGATTCGTCGCAGGGTGAAAAAGAAAGAACTGTGGTGGCATTTTACAAGCTGGAGATGATTAGAATTCAGCTTATTACAGCACAAGGGGATCAGGTTTGCAACAAAGCTTTTCAACTTTTCTATCTAACTATTGTCGCATATCTGGAAAACTGTGTTAGGCTTGTTCTTGTTTTGTTTCAGAATTGTCAAATCGCATGAACCTCGTTTTCAAGCTTCACTTCTTATCTAGAATCTTCTTTTTGTTGCAAGCTTATCCTTACTAGTATCTTTTTAACTTTTGGGAACAGACTGAAGTTGAGGTGGAAGATGTCAGAAAAGCACAACCTGATGCTATTGCTCATGCATCAGCTAAAATCATAAGCCGTTTAGAAGAATCTGGTGATAAACTAACTGAAGCCCTCAAATCTCTGTGTTGGAGACATAATGGTATTCTAGCAGAGGTAAACAGCTGCAACTTAAATCTAGAAGCTCTAGTTATGAACTGGAATTCAACAGGATATTTCTGTAGGTTTTGGCTGTGGATGAGTAGATGATAGACCGTAATTCCTTTTTTGGTTGCAGGAAGTGAAGCTGATTGGGATAGATTCCTTAGGTTTTGACCTCAGGCTTTGCGCAGGAGCAAAGATTGAGTCATTGCGGTTTGCATTCTCGACAAGGGTACATCAGTTCTTTCCTTCGATCTTTTAAGATCTTGTTCCTGATCTATAATATTTTAAGAAACCGTGCTAACATATCTTGCCAATCAAAACTCTTGCAGGCAACATCAGAAGAAAATGCAGAGGGACAAATTAGAGAACTATTATTCCCGACAACGAACCAGGCGACGCAACCGAAACCGAAATGAGCAAGTCAGAAGGATTGTTGATGCTGTAGTAATCTTCTGTGACGCTGCGCAGAGAAAACAGTTCCATGAACCAAAATCCAAACAAGCAAATCAGTATGTTTTTGGAACAAATATGAACAAGTTCTTGGAGATCTAAGCAAAAGAGTAAGATCTGTGGCTTCAAGCAATTTTTCAATTGATTTTTGAACGCTGTAATTTCTTGTTAAAATTGTTCTCAAGTTTGTGGGTTACTCTGCACAAATTGGGCATTGAAGTTTCAACCCATTCTTTAGAAAATGCTTGCTTACGCTAAAATCCCCTTAAACTAGACCTCCGATCTGATATTTCTCTGAACTATCTTGTTCGAAAAATGAATGACTAAAGCGTATGAATGTTGTCAAGCTGAAAACAATGCCTCAAGAGTGACAATAACTAAAATTTTCAAACCAAAACCATCTTAAAACGCAATGCAGGAGAGTTATTACTTGTGGTATCAATTTAAGCTTACTGCGATCACCCACAAATACGGTACACAACATCTCAAATATTACATAATTATTTTTCTTTAACCAACTTATTATTGCATAAACATAAGTACATAACCGTGATCCGTGACACGCTTCGGTAGATGCAAAAGCTAGCAACTCCTCATCATGTTCGAACGCAATCTTATCGTCTTGAGGTAATGTAAACCACGGTTCAATTCCTTCACCTGCGTCTTGTCAATAGAATCATCCGCGACCCAAACCGAGGTTCTCAAAACCGAAATCGGCCTTGTAAAAGGGCATTCTATCTACACCAAATAGTCAAAATTCTCAACATATGTCTCTGTCACAGGACTATCTCATCTCATACAACCAGTACCGGCCCTGTGTATTATAAGGCCCAATACAATTTTTTTTTTTTTTCGATGGATTTTATAGAAGAAATTAAAACTTGAGACCAAATCTTAAAATTTTAAGAAACTGGGGCCTATTTTTGTAAAAATAAATAGATAAAATTTAAAAATTGAGATTAAATCTGAAAATTTCAGAAAATGGGGCCTATGGCTTCTTTAATGAACTTAACTCCACATTTATGGCTTCTTTCCACTTTAGCCAATCTGATCTTTGAGTGCACTCTAATATAGACGTGGGTTCATGATCCTCATTCATTTCAAGTGCTACCTTATATGCAAACATTTCATCGATGTCGATATCTTTGCGGTTCCATTTTATTCCAGACATGATATAATTTATTGAGATCTCATTATTATCTATCCCTTCAGGACCATGAGGATTGGCGTCCCAAATCTCTCTATTCGGTTCCTTAGGGTCTGCCGCGGCCATGTCTATGGTTTCCTTAACCTCGTTTCCTATTGCACCTTTCTTTGATTCTCGAGGATTTTTATCTTTGGAACCTATTGGTCTACCACGTTTCTTACGTGCGTTAGACTCGGTAGCAACTTCATTGATTCCCTTTTGGACATCAATACGTACTGGTGCATTACAAGCTGGTATGTACGATTTTGTAACTTTCTTTGGGTCAACAAAGGAATCCGGCAATTCATTAGCTAGCTTTTGCAAATTTATTATCTTATGGACCTCTGATTCACATGCCAGAGTCCGAGGATCTTGCCAATTTAAGGATGTTTGATTCCATGATATTTCTTCGACCAGCTTGTTCGTCTCTCCACCTAAAGTAGAAAATTCGAATTCATTAAAATGACAATCCGCGTATCTAGCCTTAAATAGATCACCCGTAGTTGGCTCTAGATACTTAATAATGGTGGGAGAATCAAATCCAACATATATTCCCATCCTCCTTTGAGGTCCCATCTTTGTTCTATGTGGTGGAGCAATCGGTACATATACGGCACACCCGAAAATCTTTAGATGGGATATGTCTGGCTCATGACCCATGAGTAATTGGGATGGTGAATATTTATGTTCACTAGATGGCTTTATGCGTATAAGCTCTGATGCATGTAAAACATCGTGTCCCCAAGCGGCTACTGGAAGCTCCGACCTCATGAGTAATGGTCGAGCTATCAATTGGATTCGTTTAATGAAAGATTCCGCTAATCCATTCTGTGTATGTACATGTGCCACGGGATGTTCCACACTTACCCCCATGGACATACAGTAGTCATTAAACGCTTGGGACGTGAATTCACCGGCATTATCTAGACGTATAGTCTTAAGCGGAAAATCTGGAAAATGGGCTCTCAGTCTTATGATCTGGGCCAACAACCTAGCAAACGCTTGGTTTCTAGAGGATAATAAACAAACATGCGACCATCTTGTCGATGCATCAATGAGGACCATGTAATATCTAAATGTCCCACATGGTGGGTGTATTGGTCCACATATATCCCCTTGTATCCTTTCCAGAAAGTTTAAGGTCTCTTTATTTACCTTAGCCGGTGATGGCCTTATAATGAGTTTCCCTTGTGAACATGCTTCACACGTGAGATTCTTAGGGATAACTCTTTTCTCTTTTAGGGTGTGCCCCCTTGAATTTATCATAAGCTTACACATCATACTATGACCCGGATGGCCAAGCCGGTCATGCCATAAAGTGAATTTCTCGATGAACTCTTTGTTCATTGCCATATTAGCTTCGATCATATCGATTTTAGCATAGTAGAGACCAGTGGATAATGCGGGTATAGTCTCTAGGACTTTCTTATGTCCTTGGGTGATCTCAATTATATTTAGGAATTCTTTGTTCCCTTCACCCTTTGTTTCAATATGGAAACCATTCAATCTTATATCTTTGAAACTTAATAAGCTCCTCTTCGAGCTGGGTGAATATAGGGCATCGCTTATTTCAAGATGCGTGCCCTTAGGTAAAAGAATATGGGCTTGACCGTGGCCCTCAATAAGACTAGCTATACCCGCTATGGTGCTAATATTGGCATTTTTCAATGTTAGATTTAGGAAATATCTCTTGTCTTTCAAAATTGTGTGGCTTGATCCACTATCCACCACAAATATGTTCTTGTCCTCAGCCATTTCTAATATGGACAAGAATCATGTTTTAAACATAAAATAATATCAAATAAATTCAAGGAGATAACAATTAATGAACACATAAAACGGCAAAGAAAACATAGAGGTTTTGATGTCGAATTCAGATTTATCAACTTGATTCTTTTAGGCAATCAGAATTTTCATACTCCATTAGACTATCTTGATCATGTTTACCATCTTTATAGACCAAATGGGCTTTAGGATTCTTCCTTTTTACACTCTCTTAATAGAGGTCACAACGATGTTTGGGAGTCCTACATATCTTAGCCCAATGGTTCCCCATTCCACATCTATGGCACACTGATTTGGTCGAGTGTTGTGGTTTATAAATACCACAGCCTCCTCGCCCTCGACCATGGCCAAAATTGGGTCTACAACCACGGTTATAGTGGTTCCCACGGCCGGATGAGTTATAGTAGCCACAACCACGTCCTTTCCATCCACCACGGTCACGGCTGTGTGGTCTATCACTCTGTACGTGGTTAGATTCTTTGGATTCTTTCTTATCCTCTGCGGCCTTATTGGCATCAAGTAATGGGGTTAATCCGTGAGGTCTTAATTTACTGTATCTCATCAGTAAGTCATTATTTTGCTCAGCTAGCAATAGACTCATCCACAGACTTATAGTTCCTGGATTCTGAGACTCTCAATAAGATGGTGGCTAATAATTAATATTTCCTTGTATCTATCTTTCTCACTTGGCATTATTTCCTTATGTGATACATTCACCAAGTCCTTTTGAGTTTAGGATAATCTTAGTATTCATTGCCCATTTTAAATAATTATCTCCTCTGATATTTAGGACAGTAAAATACAAGTTGTAATTCAACATCTACAAGCAAAAAGGGTTTTGAGTCAAGATCATGTAATCGTTAATGTCATGCGGTATTTAAGACCGAATCATGAATCGATTTACTTAAGGATTTGACTTTCCTCTTAGGATTAAATTTCCTCTTTTAGGGATTTCCTATTTCGATTAAGTTTTAGGTTTTCCTATATTGATTAGGATTATGATTTCCTATTTTAATTAGGGTTTATAGATTTTCTATTTTGAATAGAATTAAGGATTTTCCTATTTACAATAGGATTTAAGATTTTCCTATTTAGAATAGGATTTAGGGTTTTTTAGAAATTTCTATTTTGATTAGGATTTTAGATTTTTTTTTTTTATAGGTTTTTTCTTTTTACTTAGGTTTTCCTATTTTATTTAGGATTAAGCTTTCTCTAGGGTTTTGGTTTCTAGGGTTCATGCGATATGAGAGTTTTATTTCTAACAATTTATGCATGCAACCAATCATAGAAAAAATCAATCTAAACAACCTAAGCAACCTCAATCAATCGGATTTATTAACTTAGAATTATAGGGATTCGATTTAAGTTTCTTTCAACAATACGATTTAGGTTTTGAATCAATAACTCTCCTAAGAACAAGCGAGCAAAGCAAGCAATAGCAAACACTTTGATTCAAACAATATCCGATTTTTAGGGTTGCGATTTCTTTAGGTTCAAGTTCGATGTTGGACTTTAGGTTTTAGGGTTTCGGATTTTACCTTTCACCTTATGAGGTTGTACGGATATGAACCGAGAGCTAAAGACCTCGGTTTTCGAACTTGATCACGAACGTTGGGAGCTTGGAGGAATCGCGAGCACCTATTGATCCGATCGTAAGCTTATGAGCGAGGCGGACTTAGGTTTTGTGTGAAGGATTTTTCGAATTAGGGTTAGGGATCGTTAAGAGCAAGTCGTGCTGATAACGTGTTATGAATCTCGTGTATTCTTATTGATTAATGAATGAGGTTACAACTTATATATATACACAATAGGGGAGACAAATCCCAATTGGACTAGGAAACACTAAAGCCCACTAAGACTAACATAAACCGTCTTTGGCCTTGGTCGGTTGGGCGAGTCTTCTAGAAGCTAGACATGGGCCTTCTAGAACATGGACATGGGCCACGGTTATGGAGTCCATCCGTTATGTGGTTTACAACAAAACCTACTTATTTTGGTTGTCCATAGATAAAACACAGGATGGTTGATGTTCCAAGACTCTCCTTTACATAGAGGCTTTGACTCGGTTTACATCAATGAAATCTAACGATTCTGGTTTACGTAAACCATGTCACTCTCATTTAATTAATACTTTCACGCTTTCAGGATCTCTAATACTGTTTCTGGCGCTCTCTTACTCACTTCTTATGTATCTCTTAAATTCTCTACCATTGATATTTTTTCTTCAGGTAATATTTGCATCCTATTTATCTTTAGTTTTGAAGGGAATTGATCTATGATTTAGACGTATATGACAACTTTTCATCAAGTGAGAACCGTTAGACCACTACCTTGATTATTTGAAGTTGTTTTTTTGCCATCAATTATATGATTGTAGTAAAAAAAAATGATTTTTTTGTGTTCATAACTTTTTAAGAAACTGGTGATATGAGAATTGAGAGATGAAGATCGAAAAACCTGAAGCCGTTTTCAGAAAATTTGGGATCTGCATGACAAATTTGGCAACAAATATGGTATATATCCCACTTACGGTCCCAATCTTATGTTTCTTTATCCCTATCTTGGTATCTCAAATCGACATTCTTAAGTTATTTATTTGATTTTCATAGCTTTGGAAAAAATGGATTGTTGAAATTTGTCTTTGACGAATTTGAAAATTATGTTTTTGTGTGTTCTTGGTCATGGACAACAAGCTGTGTATGAACAGATTTTAATGGTGAATGAGCGGTTGTTGCAGACCGATTTGGTTATTCCAATGAAAAACAAAAAGATCAAGTTTTCCAAGCGGTGGTGGTTCAAGTATAAATCTGTGGAAGAGGGTATAAAGAGACCGTTTTCTTCCAATCTGTGTATGATTTGCTATTTTGCGGTGTGGCATTGTTGGAAGAGCAAGACCATGTCACATACTCGTTTCTTCTCATTCCAATTCTTCCAACAAATGAGAAACTTAACGATTTGGTGGTGGAGTAAACATCCAGAACCTATCTTGGTCTTTAAGTGGGTGATTAATATTTTTGGGGGTTAAAAAGAGTTCAGGCCTGCAATGCAATCATGGATCATATGAAGAGGCTGTCACATGAATACTATGAAGAGGCTATCACAGAAAGGTCATTATAGTCTCTGTTCATTAACGTCAAATGTTTTCTGTTGGTCTCAGTTCAATATGGCAAGCTGCGGTACAAATCATGTGTTAATGTCATTATGCAACAAAGTCTTTCTCTTTAAAACTTTGAGGTTCAAGGTTTTTCGAAGGGGAAGGATTTGATACAGAAAAATAGAAGAGTGGCTGACGTGGAAGAATGAAGGAACATGATTGGTGGAAGCTTGAATGATGCGTTGGCAGAGTTTGATTGGCTGAAGGAAGATGAGAGCAAGAGGAAGATATAGAGAGCCTCGAGAGATCAGTTGCAGAGAAATCATTTTTAGTTGTATCTTTTCTTCTTCTTCTTAGTTTGTTATGAGATTATGGTGTTGTACTCATCTAGATCGAGATCTCTCTGTTAGATCTTCGTCATTTGAGATATCGGCTCGCGTTTTATGAACGTTAGTTCGATTTGGTTCCGGTTACAATTTGTATTGAAGCATTGGTGAATTTGTTCTTTATCATGGAGATCTCTTCAAACCCTAGCCTACGAAGAGGTCCGATCCTCCGGGGGACTGGAAGAATGAATCTACAGCTCTCATCCGATGAATCTCATGTTTGTGTACACAGATTGGAAGATGATACTGGTCGATTTGAGGAATCCGCCTCATGATTCCGCTTAGGATTTAGTTGATTTTGGTGAACGCAAGTGGATGGATATGGTTATTGGTCATTCCTTGCTCGTGGTGATTATGGTGAATCAGCTTCTCCACCTCACTTGTGATAGAAATGTTGATCTCTTCATTATTTGGTTGTCAGTTCTTATGATTTTAATGAGCTCATTGTTGTTTTAAGATGTCCAATTTGTGTCTTTTTTCTCTGAGAATGATGATGATGATGACCATAGCGATCTTGGTTTGGTGTTCTCTCTCTTTGATGCAGGACAGCTATGGGTGCTAGACTTTGTCCCTGGGGAAGTCAAGGCACACCAAAGTGGTGGTCAAGTAGAGGAATTTCTGCAAACTTACCTTCACCAATCCCTTCCCGCATTTAAAGTCACGTTCTTTCTGTTGTTCTTGGTGTTTGTCTACCCACTCGACTGTTTGTTCACAGCTTAGTAGTTCCATTTACGGTTAATGTTCCAAATTGATATCCACACGAAAGCAGATATATATACTGCTCACTTTGAAATCTCGGGTGAACGTTAGTTACTATATATGTGGTGTATAACATCTCTCTGATTTAGCTGTTGTTGCAGATGCAAGGGCACTTTTTGGTGTGTTTTTTTTGGCATGTATGAGAGTAAAACCGCATCTGCATATATAGTTAACTGGAGTTAAATAGTATGCTTATATGATCTCTTCTAGCTGATTATGTTACACCTAACCTAGTGGCTAGTGCCACTCAAACATTTTTTTTGGATTCTAGATGGCTTGTGGATCATAGGGTCGAAATTGGGTCCTCAAGATCGTTATTTGAGTGGATTAAGCACTTGGCAGCCACCTCAATACTCTAGAGATCCGGAGACTCAGAGACATGGGCCTTTAAGCTTGTCAGGTCTGTCCAAATGGTCAACTCTTACAGGTTTCTTTCCCCTTATATGAACCAATGACCATAACTGTAGTATGACCTTCCTCAAGATTTTTCCTTTATTCACATGGTTTCTCACTTGCCCCATTGCAGGGAGCCTTCATACTGGTCATTGCTAGATAATCTACCAAAAGACTCAAAAATCTCTTTTGTGAATGCAGAAAAAGAAGTGACCGATGGGACCACGATACAACCAATGCGGCTTGATACAATTGCTACTTAATTCTAAAAAAATTGATTACTACTAATGCTATTCTGGTTCGCCTCTTTCGCTAGCTATATGCGGATCAGCAACCACACCCTAGCTTCCCTTCTTCCTTCATCTGTTCAAAACCGTGGTAAGCTTTGTCTAAAGCTTGTAATTTAGTTTCATGTATTTAGTCATCAGAAGATATAAGCTGGAACTCTATTTCTGCTATTGTCTGGTAGTGTGAAGTGATATGTTGTTCCTGATGCAATCCTTTTCTTCAAATTCTCAATTTGAAATCATTTCAACTTTTTTAAAAATTTGGTGTTTTTTTTTTTTTTTCTCAATCTAGCAGTGAATTACTAATATGAGTAATGATTAGGATATCGTAAATGCATAGTGCAAGTTTTGGTGGAATTGTAGTCGAGGAGAAAGACAAGAGAGCCAAAGGAAGATAATGTGACTCTTGGACCTGCTGTTCGTGAAGGTGAGCAACTCTTCACATCTTTGCTTTCATTCAACGATAAGTGGCTTCTAGTGTCGTTTTTAATTTTCTGAGCAAACTAAAGCTTTTATATACATAGTCCTGAGTTTTGTGTATCTGCAATTACAGCACATGACTGATTTGTCTGGACGGGAAACCCGTGTTCGCATCACTGGTAAGCAAGCATCTGTCAAAGTTCTCTAGTGAGCATTTTCTTAACTTGGATGCGGTAGTGTCTAATATTTTGAACCTTGTAGTCTCTAGTGAGTAGTGTGAGTTCAGCTATCTTGAGTATCTGCTCTTTAAGACCTTAGAGGAATCGTTTGATCGATATCGTTGTTGATACTTGCCTTGTTCTTGACTACAAAAATGGCTGCTAATAGAACCAAGTTAGATACAGTAGTTTCTGGTATTATGGTCATTTCTATTGGGTGTGAGCTGAAGTGTCTTTATTCTTTGTTCTTTCGAGGAGTCTCTCTATTTATCTGTGTAGAAAATAGCATTGTTCTTGAATACAGAATTGGCTGATGAACTACTGTTTTGATTTCAACTGCTACAGGTGGAATGAAGGTGAAAGCCGACAGGGATGAGAGTCTGCACCGTATTTGCAGATATGCTTGCTGCACAAAATGTCGCTTAGCGATGCAAGGTACATGCCAAGAAACTGCATGACCAAGCTGATAATTTGATAAGCCTATTGTAAATGTAATTGATTTTTGTGAAATACATTAACGCAACACAGGATCGGAACCACTGCCATACATCCATCTAGAATTGTTGAATTGCATCTTTCAGTGAATAAATCACTAACATTGTTCTTGTTTTTCCTCAGAGGATGTGACTCCAATCCCAAACGACAGACCCGCAGAAAGGGTGGCAGAAGAGGAGAGTTTTTTTTTTGGCGTCGCTGGATCCTCTTATGGGCTCTACTCTCAATGTTTCATAATTGTTCTTTCTTTCTTAAGAGTTTTGAATTTACTATGCTTTATTATAGTATCAACTCTGAACAGCTTTGGATCTTCTGTTATATGCTAAGATATTCAAAATTGGTACTCAATTTATCTCATGAACATCTTGGATTTTTACTGAGCTATATTGGCATGAGACTATTTGAAATGGAATGGCTCTCAGGATTTCTTGTTTGCTTTGACCCTAGACTACGAAATTTTCAATCGGAACTTGTCAATCGTCTCGATTCATCCAGAAGAAGCTGAAAAAGTAAAAAAAAAAAAAAAAAAAAAAATGGATCTGAATAATGTGGCGTCTTTGGAACTTGGAAGGATAGAAACGATTACTTATATAGAGAATTGTCTTTGGAAGCCACCGTTAAAGAGATGGGAGACATGGATGAATGAGTGGACTTTTAAAGTCAAGCTACTACATGGCATGGAAATCATACCCTGATCATACGATCCAACAATAAGTGTAGAGTGAGATGGATTCTTAGAGACAACTAATTATGGCTTGGTGAGATTGGTTTCTCGGTTATCGGATTCAGAGGCTGATGCGTTGAGATGAACAATTTTGCACATCAGAAACCTAGACTAACGAGAGGTGTGGTCTTCCAAAGTCAAACACAAACCCTAATACTCCAAAAATCTCGGTCAATTTGGTTGACTCTCTCGAGTTAATGTGAAATGCTTCCCGAATCTCCTCCTGTAACTGATCAGAAGGGTTTTCTGATATAAGGGTAGGAACATCCTGTGACCTACATAATAGAAGAGAAACCAAAGTGCAATAAAAGAGCTTAAACATATAGAAGATGTTTTAAGACAATGGAGACAAGAAGTTGCCTCAGAACTGGCTCCAATTCAAACAGACTTAAAACTAATCTAATTAAACATCCACCACATAAGAGTTAAGAGACTGAAACAAGAGCATTCCTGCATCCACAAGCCTTCTCACTAAGACACCGTCCTGTTCCAACATTGTTATTTTGATAATCTATTCAGTCCTGTCTTGTGCCCTCCAATTTGTTTGTACCTCCTCCCACATCATTCTATTCATCACAAGCTCCTCATTTAAAACCGAACTTCTATAATTAGCCTTCCCATCCCTATTGAGTTTATATCTCCTGCTTTCCAAACTCTTCAGCAACTGCCTAACATAACAAGCAGCTCTTTCACGTTCAGCTATGAGGCCGGACCACTGACTTGGATGAGAATCAAAGGACGGGAGTCCGCTCCAAAGTAAGTCATATTTTTCCTTCAGCTTCTTATTGAATTCGCGAACTTGAGCGTGCCCCCGAATAAGAGGATTCAAGAAGAAAACTAGTTGAACTCCTTGTAAAATTCCATTAATACGCTCGAGCTGACAAAGAATCAACCAACCAAACTCAATTTCAATGTATGTGATAAGAAATGGATCGGAAGAACTTGTAAATTTTTCTTAGATTGTTTACCTCAAGTAGTATCTCACTAAGAGATGGATGAGACTGGAATGCATGGAAATTTGTTTTTTGATAAAAATACTTTCGATGCTTCACATTCAACAAAGACTGTAGAAAAACAAGTAAAGGAGTATGTCAATTTATGAAAAAATACTGGAAGTTGAATGAAAAATATAACAATCAGTGACCAACCTTTTCCAAAGCATCCATGGAAGTCTCACATCTTAGCAAATTGTACTGTTGCTCATGATTTAGATTATCTATCCATTGACGTCTCACAGTGTTTCCAATGGGGTGATGATACATCCACCAAGTTACTTCGGATTCTAGAGCAGGAAAGAGAAGTGGGAGTGTGGAGGATGGACGCTCCATCTTCTCGGCAAGTGACCATATGAAGCCATAAGGATCCCTAACTTTGGCTTTGACACCTCGGCAAGCTTCTACTTGGGAGATATTTCCCACTTCCACTCCTCCGGCTTTCTTAAAAGCCTCTAAAGACGAGTTAACATCAACCGTGACCACCTCTACTGTACTCCCAGACGTAACACGAGCATCATCCCTGTTAAAACAAAAAGTTTCGATTCTTAGAACACAAACAAATTATTCAGTTTTTAGCAATTCGCAAAGGAAGAGGTGCATTCCGGTCACGTGGCAGAGGAGTTTGTTTATCTACTTGCTTTAGTTTTGAGTTTGACTTGGTATATCCCTATTCTTCTGGAGTTAGTTTGTTAGCAATTTCAGTAGTACTCGTAGCTAATCGTGGATTAAATAAATTATTCAGTTTTCGCAATTCACACAGACCTTGTTCAACAAAACTGGGAAAAAAATAATAATTACTTACCCAACAGCATCAGCCATGCATATCACAATCCTAGCATTAGCAATCGTCAATTCCACCCAGCGCGAGATTATTTGACCACCAGCACCTTTTAATTCTTTTATGTCTGTCACTGTTGCCGAAAACAGCCTTTCGTAATAACCCATAGCTTCACTAACATCATTCGCATTCTTCACAACCACAATGACCAAACCGGTGAGTTTCTCTACAGTCACGATATTCTCCATCTAAGAAAATTAAAGAAAAGAGAACAATGAGAGAAGAAATCTGTCTGTGCAATTTCACCAAAAGCTTGGTGCTTCGCAGTTAGGGGTGGGCATTCGGGTATGCGGGTCGGGTTCGGGTAAAACCCGATCGGGTACGGATCTTTCGGATAGAGGAGTTTAGGACCCAATAGGGTAAATCTAAAATATCGGTTCGGTTTCGGTTCGGGTCTAATCGGGTTCGGGTCGGTTCGGGTTTAGATTTTTAGAACCGCTAAATACCCGAAAAAATCGGGCACCCATCGGGTTCGGGTATTTTATACCCAAATACCCAAAATTTTACCAAATACCCAAATTTTACCCGAAATTATACTCTAATATCCGAATTTTATCCGCAATTTTACTCAAATATCCGAGTTTCACCCAAAAATTTATCCGAATAACCGGAATTTTGTCCAAATATTTAAAAAATTTACAAGCATCTCGCGTATTTATATATTTAGTCTTAAATATATAAATATAAGTGCATTTAATTTTTGGTAATTACTCTCGGTTATTTGGATATAAATGTATTTAGCTCAAATATTACATATATATAAAGTTTTTATATGTATAAGTATAAGTAATTTCGGGTAATCGGGTACCCGTTCGGGTATCGGGTTCGGATCGGGTTTTACCCTATACCCACGGGTACGACAATACAAGACCCAATAGGGTAAATAGCTAATACCCGTACCCGCCCCGAACCGGTTTTTTTCGGGTCGGTTTCGGTTCGGGTACTCGGGTACGGTTTTTTTGCCCAAGCCTATTCGCAGTAATCACAATTCACAATCAATTTTAAACTAGTTTTATCAAGAATTTGATTGTGAAATCAATTCAAATTATTTAAGAATGCAATATGAAAATAACTGTAATCTACAAGCCATTTGCCTAAACCTATGAGATTGTGTAAAAAAAAAAAAATCCAATTAAACACACAAATCCAGAAAAATAACTCGATCACGAACCAGCAATTCGATCAAAACCCTGGAAACTCCCCTAAGAAATACCTCAAATCGGAAATGAATGACGAAATTCAACAAGATCGCATTGAGAGAAATCTAAAAAAAGCGTTAAAAAAAAACTCATCCACGTACGAGTTCAATGGAGCTTAGACATCGACGATACAAGGAAACTGGAAAATCCCCTCTTGACAGCCGAAGGTGATTCCTAACCTAGGCGAGCATTTATCTGTTCCCGTTTTTCTAATGGGCCTTTACTAATTGGATTTACAAAGTTTGATCCATAATCATTTGCCATAATTTGGTAGAATGGACTTGTTTTTTTTTTCCCTCTTTCTGTTGTCCATAGTAAACAAAAACCCAACAACTTTTCTTATCTCAGCATTTTATATTTTATATAATATGAGAAGGTTTTCTTCTAACTTTTCATACCATTGCGACATTTGGCACTCACTTTTGGTGATATTTGTCCTTCTTCATTTCATTAATGTTTGTTTTAATTTATTTAAAATCCTTAGTTTTGAAAGTTTGTGCCTACAATTTAATTCCAAAAAAGATATTTCTCTTATCCTATTGATACATTTGACATGTATTTAAATTGAAATTTGTATCTAATTTGTTTTGCCAAAATTATTATCTACTTAAAATCACCACTTCTTCATCTGATTCAAAATGATGGATCAGTAAAATTTTAACTTCACAAAATATTAGTACATTTTTTAAACTTCTCATAATATTAGTACATTTGGCATCTATTTTTAAATTTAATTGTTTTCCTCATTTTTCTATCTTACATAATATTTTAATATCTCCATAAAATACATTTCTAATCTTTTCTAATTTGTCTCTTTTTTTTTCTTCTTTCCAATCTAACTTTTTTTATAAAAACAATTTCTCTTTTTTTTTCTTCTTTCCAATCTAACTTTTTTTATAAAAAAAATTTCTCTTTTTTTTTTCTTCTTTCCAATCTAACTTTTTTTAAAAAAAAATTTACAACACCAATTTATTCTCACACGTTACAACTCCAAGTTGGAGTATTTATTTAGAATTTTTATTACACAATACATTTAATGTATTTATATAGTATAATATAATTTACTTGAATTATTAAATTTAATATTTCATCCCATATATTGTTTTATAAATGTCTCAGTGAATAAAATTCTAACTTATATAACAGTCAATATAATTTTAATAAAGAAATATAGTAGAGTGCATTATATTAATGTATTGCTCCATGTGTTACGCCTTCTCTTAAAATAAATGTTTGCAACGAATTTTCTTCTCCAGTAACGCTTTTCATGTGGCTTCTAATACCGAAATATATTAGTGTTTTTTTTTTTGTTCTGGAATTAGTTACCCAAAGTAAAACCCACAAATGAACTTATTAAAACATATGTAATGTCAAATAAGTCTAAATTGATGCATTAGTGATTAGGCTAATAGATAACCACAATAACTCTAATTAATTCAAACCAAACATTAAATCCAATTAATTCACAAACATGTACGCTAAGTCTACTTTTATATATTACCCATTCACTTCTTATGGAACTTTCTACCATTCTTTTTTTCCGGCTTTTCTAATGGGCCTTTACTAATTGGATTTACAAAGTTTGATCCATAATCATTTGCCAGACCGACTTAATTTGGTAGAATGGACTTGTTTTTTTTTTCCCTCTTTCTGTTGTCCATAGTAAACAAAAACCCAACAACTTTTCTTATCTCAGCATTTTAAATAAGCGACAAATATTGAATTTTTTGAAATCGTATTTACTGCAATTAAACTATAATCCCCATAATTTCATGGTTAGACATAAAAAAAAAAAATTAATCTCATCTCAAACATCCTTCTATTTTTCTTATGCTTTTTTTTTTTTTTCTATTTATCACTTCTTACGAATCATCGACTCCATTCACTTCTTTTGGAACTCTCTACCATTTTTTTTTCGGTTCTTCTTCTTGTAAGATTGCATATTATTATTATTTATTATTTTTTTTTGTATGAATGTAAGAATATATTCACCAAAAAATAACTGTTTTACAATGAATGCATCTTAAAAGCTAAAATATTGAAATATTATTTTGAAAGAGGAATTAAAAACTTGAACAAGGTGACTAATGGCTACGAAGTCGGAACCATAATTTCAGTGCCGGCCCTTCCATAAAGCACGTAAGGCATATGCTTGAGGCCACAATATGTTTAAGTAGTTTTAAGGGCCACATGATGTATTGGTAATTTGGTCAAATTGGTATAGTGACTCTTTAATCCACGTCTACTTTGAATATAATTTAAGTTCCATTAATATTTTTTTCAAAAGAATTTTTGTTTTCAAGTTTCTTTCTTGGATACTTATACCATTTTCAGTAATTTTATTATTTTTAATAGTTAAAAAACACACCAGTAAAAATTTGTATTAGGCAAGAAGTTAAACTACATAACTTCAAATGATGTAATGTGCCTCTAGGTATATATATATATATATTTTGAAACAAATTAAGTCATTTTCTAATTATTTAAATATAAATTTTTAATAGTGTTAATTATAGTTTAAGAAATTATGCTACAAGAGCAATGCAGAGATCAAAATTTGACTGGGTGTCGATCGATACACCCCTGTTATCGGTCGACACCGATATCTGACGGCAAATTAATTTCACGTATCTTTGAAGATTTGCAGAATCACCCCAGAAAACTTCATTTGAGAGAGTAGTCAATAGGGTAATTTGACTCATATCAGACTTGATGAGTCGACACACATGTTTTCATGGTAAAATATCCAATGTCTTGGAGTATATCCTTGTGGTAAATGCATAAAGACCTCCTCATCCATATCACCATGGGGAAATGCATTGGTGACATCCAATTATGAATAGTAGGTAAAACAAGCATTAACCTTACGGAAGTGAGCTTAGCCACATGACAAAAATATCAAGACAATCAACTCCTTCTTGTTGTGTATAACCTTTTGCAACGAAGCGAGCCTTGTATCGCTCAATAAACCCATCAGACTTATACTTGATCTATACATTTATTTACATCCAACGCATGTTTTCCATCAGGCAAAGAGAAACTTCTCCAAGTAGATGTACTCACAAGAGCATCCAATTCCATGTTAATTGCATCAAGCCAATGTCGCAACAAGACTATCTCTTTATGTGAGTTGGTTCTTTCTCAGCAAGAATGGCCAAACAGAACAGACGATATTTATGAAAGAGTTTATCGTAAGATAAATAAGCAGAGAGAAGATGAGCAGTACCATGAAGAGAAGGAGAAGGCTTTTTTTTTTTTTTTTGTTTTGTAATAAAGAGAGCTATGATACTGTGAAAGATAACTAGGAGCATGAGTCTCTCTCTACGAATTTCGTTAATTTCTTACACTGGCCCGATTTGAGACCAACAAAATTTATTATTTTATATTGTTTATTAATTTATCGAGTATTAATTTATAGAGGTTTAACTGTATATGAGACAATTGGGAAAGTAAACTAGCTTATACTTTTTAGTACTTAACAAAATTCAGATGTATGTATGACAAAGTAAATAGAATAATTTATGAAATTCTTTTGGTTTGGTTAATATAGTTTGGTTTAGTTATTTTGTGGTTTATTTTGGTTATTGCATTTGATTTAGTATTTCAAGAAAATGAAAATCTATTACGGAGTACTACTATTTTCTGTATTTCATATTTGTTTGCTCAGATGATCTTCCTCCGTTTGTTTCCTCAAATCTGATTGAATTTTTCATCTTCTTCGACTTGATTCGAAGATATCAACAAATCATCTTCATCGATCGAGCTCTGATCTTTTCTTTTGATTTCGAGATCTATCTATTGTTCTGACTCATTTTGCACACAAACAAAAAAAATCTATTGTTTTCACTTGAATTTTCTGTTTCTATCAGAATGATTTGAGCACAAAACGAAAACAGAAATTCAAATTCAAACATGGGACAAATTTTGCTGAAGATTTCATCACCCCAAGGCCGGCATTGCATTTGATATCATGGCTGTTTCTACTCGCGTGATGCTGATAAGCCCATGGGAGCTAATTTTAGAAGAAGAGAAGAGTCTTCTAGTGAAGATTAGGAGGTTTGTACAAGTAGAGATACTCTGTTGTTTTGTAATCGGATTTTTGATAAGAAATATTTAGATTTATAGTTATCAAATTGGTGGGTCGAGGAGATTCTTGTGCTTTCCGGTGACCGTTTTGAAATCCATGGATGGAAGATCGATCGATTTGTTCCGCATCATTTCTCAGAATTGCAGAAATTGAATCTTCATCGAGGCTGGGACGAGTTGATGAGGGATGCATTATTGTTGCGGTTTTGGGAATGACGAAGAATAGTTGCTTCTAGACTCGAAAACAACTTTGATTCCAGGGACAAAATTGATTGGCGCAGCAGAACCAAATCTGAGCTGGTCAAGATTCTACTTTGAAACTTTGTCATACGTCTGCGTTCATGGAGCTCCACCAACTATATCCGAGGAGGAAGTTCATATACACATCCGAGGAGAAAAGACAAACTATACAGAAGAATCAAGACTGGTTCAATACTGAGAGTGATGTAGTGAGTTGGGGGAGAAGAACAAGGGTGCAAAATTGCTTATCCTTCCCAAACTTAAGTGGTTTGATCTGGCTGTTCAAGGAAATATTAAACAGGGACAGATATTTCAACAAGATGTCTAGGAAGCTGCTGTTCCAATACAGTTTGGTAATTCGACAAAGTTGGCTGATGCTTTGGATGTGTGAGGACAACTACAAGTCCGTAGTTTCGGTATTTTACATAAATCTGAGCAGCAGAGTGCATTGTAGGAGAATTGCTGACCTGCGGTTGTTGCATCTGGTTGACAAATTTGTTTCGTTGTCTCACATATCCACAGATATCAATGACAATCAAATTGAGATAAGATTTTCCTGCTGTTACTCGGAAAGACTATCAAAGGCTGAACGGGAAATCACTGTCCCTCATACTCTTTGAGTATTAACCGACACTTGGGAGTGTACAGACATTATACTATTCTTTCGGGATAGAATGAGAATCAATGTTCAGCTGTATGGAGCTGACTTGCACCCGAATTTTGAGCAGTTGAAAGCAGCAATGTCTCGCGTAATGATGTCGATTCAAGAGCACATGTTGTGCAACGACAGACATGAATCAAGAAGAATCAAACAGATTATTTCTGGTGATGAGATGTCTCACGTAAAGCACATATGGAGGAAATCTAAGCAATTGCAAACAGTTTCAGACTTGGGAGTTTTGTTGGGACAGTGTTGTAATCAACCTTTAGTGATGAAAATTATGCATATTCAGCTTGGGAACAACAAAGAAACAAGGCAGAAATGGCGCAGCATGAAGTCACCAAGCTTGCGAAAATCGAATTTGACATGAAGCAGAATGTGTCTCAAGAAACATATAGACAGATTCTAGCAGTGCTTGAGCATATTACTGGAAGTAGAAGTCACAATGGATACAAAGTGCACCAAGGGAACAGTGTTTGATAGAGGTAGAAATCGGCAAAAGAGACAGACACAAAAATGTTTGCCTTCCCGGGAAGTTACGTACAAATGTCCTTGCGGGTTGGTTCAGACGTGAGTATATCCTATTTACATTATACGTATAGCCAAATGGGGAATGTACCAAGTGTTTCGAATCCAAGCTTTGTCTGATGAGGGATCTGTTATTTTTTCTGTTATAGTAGCTAAAACATCCATCTTGTGACCTTTTCTTTTTTTGTTAATCACCATTATTTTAAATCAAAACGCACATGGATGCATCAATATGGGCCTTCTAGCTTCAATATGTTTCTCTTGATTATAACTGACTATACTGCTCTGTGTAGTTTTTTCTCTAACTTATTCTGTACTAACCTTTACGACGTTGTGGATGCATTGCAGCAAGTTATAGTAGGTTTTGATACGATGGAGATGATCAAGGAAATGGAGCTGATGGGTCTTTCTGATAGTGACTTTGAAACTGAAGATGATGAAAGTGGAGAAGATGACAGTGAGGATACAGGAGAAGACGAATATGAGGAGGTTTAACAAAAAATTTTATTTCATCTTTTATACTGAGTCACTAAAGAACTCTATAAGAGGAATACTTTTGCCATGTCTTAGCATGCTTCACTAGCAACCGTTTTCTTGACTTCAGGAATGGGTTGCTGTTCTAGAGGATGATGATGATGATGATGAATCGCTGGCAGACTGGGCAAATTTGGAAACAATGAGGAGTTGCCATCCCATGTTTTTTTTTTTAAAGAGAATGACTGAGGTTGACTTTTAGCCTTAAATTCATAAAAAAATGTGTTGTGATTCTTTATAAAAACGATATGCAAGATCATTTTCAAACCTGAGGCTAAAAGAGAATGACTGAGGTTAACTTTTAAGACATTTGTTGGTTGTCAAATTTAGGTTGCTTCAGATGATCTTGTTGATTGGATGGATCAGCCGTCTGCTGGCCTTGCTATCCAGGGAATTCTGAGTCATATCTTAGTGGAAGATTATTCAGATATCCAAAGGAAACTTGCTGATAACAATTCTACAAGTACGAACAGAAACAAGGATGCAGAAAACTTAGAAGAAAAGCTTGCAGACATTAGTAAGGCATGTGGTGAAGAATCTGACATAGATTCATCGCAGGGTGAAAAAGAAAGAACTGTGGTGGCATTTTACAAGCTGGAGATGATAAGAATTCAGCTTATTACACCACAAGCTGGAGGTGATAAGAATTCAGCTTATTATAGATTCTTCTTTTTGTTGCAAGCTTATGCTTACTAGTGTCTTTTTAACTTTTGGGAACAGACTGAAGTTGAGGTGGAAGATGTCAGAAAAGCACAACCTGATGTTATTGCTCATGCATCAGCTGGAATCATAAGCCGTTTAGAAGAATCTGGTGATAAAGTAACTGAAGCCCTCAAATCTCTGTGTTGGAGACATAATGGTATTCAAGCAGAGGTAAACAGCTGCAACTTAACTCTAGAAGCTCTAGTAATGAACTGGTATTCAACAGGATATTTCTGTAGGTTTTGGTTGTGTACGAATATATGATCGACCGTAATTCTTTTTTGGCTGTAGGAAGTGAAGCTGATTGGGGTAGATTCCCTAGGTTTTGACCTCAGGCTTTGCGCAGGAGCAAAAATTGAGTCATTTCGGTTTGCATTCTTGACAAGGGTACATCGGTTCTTTCCTTCGGTCTTTTAGATTTTGTTCCTGATCCATGATATCTATGAAACAGTGTGGACAGAATAAATGACGGTATTACAACATTTGAAGCCTCTGAAAACTCTTGCAGGCAACATCAGAAGACAATGCAGAGGGACGAATAAGAGAGCTATTATTCCCGTAAAAAAACTCATGGAAGCAACAGAAACCGAAATGAACAAGTCAGTAGAAGTGTTGATGCCTGTAGTAATCTTCCGTGAAGCTGCGCAGAGAAAACAGTTCCATAAACAAAAGAATTAAAATGCCAATGCATATGTTTGTGGAACAAACATAAACAAGTTCGTAGAGATCTAAGCCCAAGAGTAAAATCTGTGGCTTCAAGCAAATTTTCAATTGATTTCTGAACGCTGTAGTTTTGTGTTAAAATTGGTTTCAAGTTTGTGGGTTACTCTGCACAAATTGGGCATTGAAGTTTCAACCCATTCTTTAGAAAATCCTTGCTTATGCCAAAATCCCCTTAAACCAGACTTCTGATCTGATATTTCTCGAACTATCTTGATCCCTTGGGTTATTCCAGCCTATCTGGTTTCTTTGGCTCTAATCGAAAAATGACTTAAGTGTATGAATGTCATTCTGTTTTCAAGAATGACAGTAACTCCAATTATCAAACCAAAACCATCCTCAAACGCAATGCAGGAGAGTTATTTGTGGTATCAATTCTGCTGTACTATTACATAATCCTTTTTCATTAACCAACTTATTGTTGCAGAAACATAACTGTATTCTTATTATCAA